TAAACGGAAGGCGGACAACTCAACTACACGGACAACTCACCATAGACAACTCGACTACAGAGAGGTTTGGTGAGTTGTCCGTCTTTTCGCATTTTTAACGGCGATGTTTTAAGGAGTGTAATATCGACATTTTTATGGTTTCAATGTTGAGAAAAATACATTAATATTTTCTAGACAGCATTTTTATGTGTGCTAGACCGCATTTTTATGCGTATAAGTGACTTATTTTGCTCATTTGATATGAATACATCCTACAGGTATAGTCTACAGACGAAACTGGGGTCCGTCTGTTGTAACGTTTGCGAAGTCAGACTGCTGACTTATAGGACTGTGTGCGTTTAAATTTTATTTGTTTGTTTTCAATACATACTTTTAAATATATTAAAATGTTTATACATGACAATAACACATATATATATATATATTCATGAATACGAGCTTAGAGCTTCTAAACTCGACTGTCGAGCAATCGCTGTGCGAGGTTACGATATCGATGCTCGAGAGGCAGAATAGGCACTGTCGCTGCGCCTGGCAAAGAAACTGTTTTGAAACATGAATATGGGATTCCGTTTTTTGATACGAATGAGGGATTTTATTCGATTTTTACTTTGCTGTGAACATTTAGTATATACTTATTCTTTGCGATACTGTGGTCTGTGGCCCATCTTTGAGGTTGGGCACCTCCAACAAGTATCTTTTATACATCGTTTTTATATATTAACTGTGGAATTTAATACTGTATTTGTGGGGAGCTGACTCTGATGGCATTATGGGTCGTATTGCACCTCCCAGTCTGTACCGAATTTAACTTGTGTATTTCGTATATATTGTGTGTATCATTGCTTGTTTTCTGGTCGACGAAACAATAAATATCTCTCTCTTCGAGGACGGGATTCAGCATATAACCATCCGTCTGTAAAAAGCCCCCCTACACACGTACCTTCTTGGTGTGCAAGCTGAGGTTCAGAGTCGGCGATAGCGGAGGCGCAAGCCGAGATTACAGCTCTGCTGTCGCCGAGCTCAGATTTCATATAATGATATCTCCAACCTTACAAAATCTTTCACTCAAACGCATTTTTGTTTTAGGGAATAAGATACCTAATTAAGCACGTTATGGCTTTATGCCAGAAACAGGCGATGTTACAACATAAAGACCCAGGATCCCATTTCGAAGGTTTAATTTTTTATAAAAGATGCGATGGTGAATGATGCACGCAGTGGCGCAACCAGCGGGGGGGTTACGGGGGTCGTGTCCCCCCGTTTGAATTTCGTTTTTTTTTTTATTATTGTTCTATGTTAAAACAACGTCGTTGCACGGTCATAACAATCCGGTGAAAACTACTTTTTTCCAGTGCTTTATCACCTCGACGTAATTTAACACCGCCCGACTTCAATCATACCTTTTTGCTGATAGTTACGTAATAATCGCTAACCCCGCGTATATGTTTGTATTCGAAAATGAGATATGTTATCTCAAAAAAGTAGAAATCGCGCGCTGTCGATGCGAATTGAAAGCGACAATAGCATAATGCTATCTCTCTCTCTCTTGTGACGAATACTCTCGTGCTTCATCATCTTGACGCAATGTAACGCCGCCCGTCTTCATGTTATAATAATGCAGTAGAAACTCTGAAAATCTGGATACGAAAATTATTTTCGGAAAAATATTGCTTCGAATAACCTAAGATTTTCTACATAAGAAAGGCCGAAAACCGAAAACGCCGTAAACATCCTACCCCCCCGTCCACGTTCTGATTAAAAAACATTCCACAATTATTTCATTTTTTATCGCAATCGAAAGCAGCCATGTGTGGCACGGCAATAACTAACAGTCGTCGTGAAAAGTAATAATAATAATAATAATAATAAACTCTGACTTGAAGTGCTTATAAGACGTCGAGGACGTTTTTGGTTGAAAATTTTTTACATTCGTTATCGTATATTTCAATTTAGTCAAATTTTTTAATTTCTTGCAATCTATAAAATAGCTTCTAAATATTATTTGGTTTCTATCGGAGATTTTATCGTTATCCCGAGTCCTGACGTCGCTGATAACAATATCGTTCATTTTAAGTTGGAGGTATTGGTTTATAATCAAAAAATTATAACACATAACATGAAAAATTTAAATCAACGCTGACTCAAAAAGTAAAACACGTTTTTCCATCTTCATTCTCCATTATTGGCGGACGGAAATTTGGGAATCGGGTTTAACTAATTTGATTATGATGACGATGGTAAACAAAAGTACACAAACATACCATACCGTTCTTAGTTTTTAGTCGTTATTTCTCTGTCCTTTCTTCTTTCTATGTGCATATTAAGACCATAAAACGTGTTTTATTATTGAATTCTGCGCTGATTTGAATATTTCATGTCGGCTGTTATGTATTTTTGTTTGTAAATGAATACCGCTAACTTTAACTGAACTGATGTTGTTATCAATGCCGGATGCCGACGAAATCCACGATAGATATTAAATACTATTTAAGAGCTATTTTATACGCGCTAAATTAGAAGAAATGAATAAATTTCCTGTTATGTTCGGTCACTATCGAAACTGAGGATGAAAACAACTAATTAAGACACAATTTGCCGAGGACGCCTAAACCATCTCGACTACGGTAAGTTAAAATACCTGATAAGAAAATTTTTCAAATCAAAAACGTCCTCGAAGTCTTATAAGTTCTTCAAGTCGGCGTTTATCGAAATTCTTTCATGTCAGCTGTAATATATTGCCGAACCACACATGGACGACGACGCCTAGGATATGTGCGCCATATTTGAGATTATTATAAACACGAAAAAACAGTATTTGAAGTTTGCGATATTTGAATTTAAATTCGATTTGGACATCCCTGCAATAAATTAGTCAAGTTTTTAGTTGTGTTTCCAAAAATTAGTTGTAAATCAATTATTTTAATTGTCATTATGTCTTCCGGTGAGCTTCAGTTTAGTTTAGAATTTTTCCGGGGTTAGGGTCGGGAAAAGGTCCATTCGCAAGAAGTGCATTTTGTTTTTAGTCTTGACGAATTCACCCAACGAGCAAGGCGCGGCACGAGGGAAACACTGGAATTTATTCAAGCCGTGTTTCACTATCCACGAGGCGCAAAGCGTGGAAAACGTTGAAAATAATTAACAGCTTTTCGTTAGCAATTCGCTGGAATGTAATGAACGGCGTTTTGCTACCCACGAGGTGCAAGACATAGCGAAGCGCCGTTAATGAACGAGTGCAAGGTAAGCGAAAGGCTGGGATTTAATCGATGGCGTTTCCCTTTTAACCATGAGTAATTTATCGTGGTCAGCGGGGCGACACCTAGTGGCGTTGCGACTTACGTCGTGGTTGCACTGTGTAAATTCCGGTTGGACCCCCCCGTTGAAAACGGCCTGGTTGCGCCACTGGATGCACGACATTTAATTTTCCCTACAGGAAAACAACTAGTTTTTCTGTCGAAGGCAGAAACTTGGTTGGCAAGTACGGTAGCTGTGTTGTATATATTTACGGTTGTATGACTCTCGGGAATTGATTTTGTAACCTCTCAGAGCTCATTTTCTGCCTGTCATTGGGATTGCTCGACTGGTGATTTGAGTTCTCTTGTGATCTGTAGTCGAGTTGTCTGCCTCTCGAGTATCAATATCGTGACCTCGCAGAGCGATTGCTCGACTGATGGGTTGGCTGCCACTCATGGCTCTACATATTTACCCCCCGGGATAAATATGTAAATCTTATCCTAACGTTACTCCAATTTCATCTGTAGACTGTATTTCTATTCATATACCATGAGAAAAATAAGCCACTTTTGAAAATTAAAATGCTTTCTAGAGAATATTTATGTATTTTTCTCAACATTTGTGCCCTACAAATATCAAAATCACATTTCTATAGACCTAACCAACGACTAACATGCCGACCTAACCTAAAACATCGCCGTAGAAAATGCGGAAAGACAGACAACTCACCAGGCCTCTCTGTAGTCGAGTTGCCTCTGGTGAGTTGTCCGTGTAGTCGAGTTGTCCGCCTCCCTCTGTAAATATGATCTGTTTGGGTGTCAATATTATAGTACAGTTTTAAGGTACGGTACGGTACCGCAGTGCCACTACTGGCAAAAAAAAAGTGCCAGTACTGGTATGGTTCCGCTCTGCAGCCTATATCTGTATATAGTAGTGTCTTTTTAAAAAAACAAAAACAAATTATGTACCGTCCAGCAGTAATTTGCATCACATTTTTGTTTTGCTTTATTTGGGCAGTTACCGGTACCGGTACCGTACGCGACGTTTCAGCGTTTAGTCTAACTTACTGTACCGATACGGTAGGCATACCGGTACGGCGGTACCTCGCGAATACCGTATTTCTGTATTCGATATTGCCTTTCCTTCATAGTTGACGATGCTAAGGCAGTGAGGTCTCCCTTGGCCCTAAAACTGTAAAATTTCGTTTTTTTTTCACTCCACTCTGCAGCTCTGTTCTGTGTAATAATGTACACTGGCTTTTTTTTTTTTCAGTACTGCAGTATGTGTGAAAAAGTAGTCCACCAACTGCATTTGGATTTTGAAAATCAATCTAGAAATCCCTAAAACCATCCATCTACCTGTATATTGTAGAATAGACTACTGCATTATATTGATTCACCTAGTCTAGTACTGTAGTAGTTACCGGTAACCTATTCCAATATCTGTACCGGTACCATATATCAGTATATTCAGATATCAGAAATTTCTATCTATGACTTTGTAAATAGTATCATCGATGATAAAAAAGACGATTCAATGATCTGTCCTTTTTTATTCAGGAAATAAAATTATCAGGTCTTAAACATATTTTTTGCACATTTTTCTGTAATTTTTCCAATGCTAGGTTGTCAGTATATCTGCATACAGGTATATCACAGGGTCCACAGACTTTTCGGCCTATAGATTTTCAGACCAGAAGTTTTGGCCTTTTTTGCCATGAGGTAGCATAATACAGTAATATGGTTTAAGTCAGGGGTGTGCAACCTTTAATAAGAGCAGGCCAGATACAAATGACTGGGTGAAACCGCGGGTCGCACTTTTATTTAACAGACTGCGTAGGCTTTCTAGTAGTTCCAGACACAAAAAATTTAGTTATTGATCTTATGACATGGGTTGTTCACTTCGCCCAAGCTAGCTACTAGGGCATTGCAACATCATGTGCATGGATAATAAATTGGACTCAGGTAGGCTATAGTCTTGGAATTACTCGCATGTACCATATTAAACTAAATTAAAAACTCGTTTTGCAGGCCACACAACTTTACCTTGGGGGCCGCATTCTGATTGTTTGATTTTCTGTGCATACCAAATGCTCCCAATTTGTGCATTTTTTTTTAATTGAATGTGCTTATCTGGATAATATTTAAACCTAATATTTATATTTTTGAGAAAAATATATAAATTGCTTGAGTACCTATCATAGTTATTAACAAAAGTTTTAATGACTACTGGAACACCACGACAGGCATTTTTGAAGTCTCAAACAGAAGGTGGAAAAGCATGGATGAGTTTTGAAGAAAGTCCGATTCATTCTGCACCACCTAAAGAAATTCCTCATTCTGTCGTTAGGCAGGATGAAGGATGGACTTCATTTTCCGAGTCAGCTGTAATATCTGTCAATCAAGCTGGCCCTCTTATTGCTTCTCCTGCACCTGCCAGTTATACTACTCAGTCACGGCCAGATGTAATCCCATCATTGCATCAAGGAATCCAGCCTTCAACAAGGTTGAATGATGAGCCTGTTTCTAGTCGAACTGGAATTGGATTAGATCTTACCCACAATGCAAGTCAAGCTCATCCAGCAGCCAGTCACAGAATTTCGCACCCCGGTACACAACCTCTTTTAATTACGCATGGGCCTGGTAGTACAATTAGTCATATTCTGAGAAATCAATCTTCTGACAACGATAATGACTCTTCGTTTTTAACGGACAGCCATGATAAAATGGCTAACTTAGCTGGCAATGACGAAGTTGTAGACTCTCACAATAAAATAAATTCTTCACAGCAAAAACATATTGAAAGCCACCAGTCCTTGCAAAAACGCCCTTCTGGTGATGCATACTATGCTACTGACAGCAGAAGAACTGAAAATGTTACGCATGATCCTTGGTATGTCACAGAAGAACAAGGATTTTATTACAGAAATCAATTTGAATCGATGCAACCTCAACTTCATGGTAAAATAGATGGTCAAACTGCCCGTAATTTCTTCACAAAATCAAGACTTCCAATCCCAGAACTTTCTCATATCTGGGAATTGTGTGACATGGACCAAGATGGTCATTTAACACTTCTTGAGTTTTGCGCAGCTTTCCATCTTGTAGTTGCGCGCAAAAATGGATATGAACTGCCAGCTATCTTGCCTAAGACCTTGTTACCCCCTTTAATGAAAATGTGTGGCATTGGAGAAGTAAATCAATCTTTTAGTAACATGAATGTAATCTCAACAGATACACCTGATGCTAAAAGAACGTCCGAAATAAAACCTACTGAAAGGCCATTGTATGAATCGGTTGATGGTGAAAAGTTACAACCAACTCAAGCGCCTATGAAACCTGTGAAAAATCTTGCGGAAAAGCCGGGAATTCAGCCCCAAATAACTCATGTAAAACAAGCAGATAGCAAAACTCACTGGAATCTTGAAAAATGGGAAACATTCAGTGACCGAACTTCAAGTTCAACGAATCTTGCAAATTTTGACCAATCATTAGATCATGCTGATAACTCGGGTATAGTTCACCCAGTAGCACTTAGAGTCACCCCTTCAAAACACGAAATGCACACTGCAAAAATGAGCTCAAAAGTCTCATCTAAAAGTACTGATGATGAAGATCATCTTGCACAAGGTCTGGTAGTTCCACCCTCGCACAAATCATTAACAAATCCTTATGGTTCATTGAAGAATGATACATCAGAACCTGATAGTCATGCCAGTCCCAGAAGGCGTTCGTCTTCTAATTCATCACATTCATCAACAGGGACCAGTGATAGGTCACTCACCGAAACTGATAAAAAACCAACACGCAACCCATCATCTGATCAAGAATACCAAAGTGATTGGTCATCTCGGCCTCTTCAACCTAGATCTGGCTCAGATTCTTCAATGGAAAGTTCATCGATGGAAACAAGTGTAATATTGCGAGATAATATTAACATTGCTCCAACTCCGCCACCAAGACCAACACAACTAGCACGAGAAGCAGCACATACTAAAGTTTTATCAGATTCCACAAAAACTCAAGTTCCTGGTCCAACTCCACCTCCGAGACCTCACACTCAACAGCAACCAATTGTTACAGAATCTGCAGCCTCTCAGTCGGAAGAATTTGCTGATTTTAGTCAATTTGAAAATAGTCGACAAGTTGAGGAATCAGTTTCACCTAATCGTCATTCCCCAGCATCTGCAACTGCTCATTCTAATAAGCAAGAAGGTAAAGATACTGAGACTCCGAACACAAAGCCCACCCCTGCACCAAGGCACAGTCAGGTTGAAAAACAAAGCAGGGCAAAAGATGAAAAATCTCCGGAAAAGGCAACAAATAAAAAAGGATATTCCGCACCCACAAAACCACCAAGAACTCGTATACAAAGCGCAGACTTATCAATCGCCCCTGATCGTCACACAAAACTCATGAAATCTAACAGTGTGGCGACAGGATCCAGTGACATACCTATTATAATAGAAAAACCACACCAAGAAGCTGAGAGATCTAAGAATGCACTTCAGCAATCAATCAGAGACCTGAAACTTCATAATAGTAAGCTGACAAAACTTAACGCAGACTTACAACAGGAACTTAAGGATGTTATGCAGTCACGTATCACCGTTGAAATGTCCATACACCAACTCAGACCATTTTCACAGTAAAGATTTATTTATGACAGATAACTATTCACATGCATATTGGTACAGTTTTTGAGAGATGGAGCTGTCCACTTTAATCTGACGAGTAGCATAGGCGTATCTGTTTACCATGCCAATGTGTTAGAGCCTAGAGGTGTCTGATATTTGGTATAATTTGGTACTATTTCATAAAGTTATTATTTGAAAACTATTCACGTCGGATGCTAAGATTGCTTATTAAATTGGGATGTTTGGAAATAATTTTTTTTACAAAAAAAGCATGCAATGTTGTACTATTCATATTTAGGTATTCTTGGAGGAAAAAGGGTGTTTGTGAAAGAAACCCTTTTTCATATTTGCTTCCTTGTGAAAATTACCTTAAACTCGTGTCTGATTGAATTCATGACTATTCTACATTGTCCGTAAATGGTGAATACACACATTACTAGGCGGATTTATCAGAAAAATTCAAATCGAGCTTGATTGATATTGAACTAAAGATATATTTGTTAATAATTTTGATGAAAATGCTTATTGATATAATTCATATGCTGTTTTGATTTAATTTTCCTACACCCAACTAATTTGTAATTATTTAATCCAAAGAGGATTCATTCTAGTTCTAAAATAAAAGTTCAATAAAAAACATTATAGGCTTATTTATACTTGTTGTAAAGTTCTTCATTAATTACTGTCCTGAAGAAATTATATTAATAAGCATCAGTGCTTATGTTTGAAATATCTATCGCAGTATAGACAAACATTATGATATCTATGAAGCAGTGAACTACAGTTCCCTAATAACTTATGACTGGATATTATTCTGTTCTGTGACATTTAATTTGGTTGTCTTATGTTAGTGAAACTACGGTACTTTACTTTTATGTCTATGTTTGGTATATTTGTCAGAAATGCAATACCGGTACCCATTTACCCCAGCCTGATTTCCAACGGCAACAATCGTAGCGTTCAAAATTAATGTAAATTATACAACGAAATTTTCAACATAAGTCATACTGCATCTATTTACCATTATGGAAATACTTGAATTCCGCTATAAGTTTACTAATATTGATGGTTTTTTGAAGATATAAACTATGAATGAATCTGTATTTTCATATATGTATATAGTTGCAAATGCAGTTTACATTAAATAATGCTTGGGTATGTTCTTACTTTTTCTCTTAGTCTGCTGTTGTACTTTTATGCTGCTGAGCTGGATTCTAATTCCAGGTACCATTACATTTGAACCCACGACGATTGCACCGGCATACTATTGCACCTATGGAAATTTTTGTTGTTTTACGGATATTTGAACTCATACTAACCCTAACCCATGGGTTTAGCACCCGCATATAGATTGAACCCGCGAATATACACATGGGTTCAAATGTACGTGGGTTCAAATGTACGGTCACCCTAATTCCATATTACTTGGTGTCAACCCAACCCATCAGTTTCAAAATATATGGTACTGGTAGGTTTGCCTTGTCAATATTTGTGTCCACAAGTCAACATCCTTTCAATTTCTTCCTCGTAAATTCAATCTTGTCATGAATGTTGTTGGTATATTCATTTCCACCTATTTTTCAAAGTTAAGTTTATAATAAGTTCTAAACAATATATTTCACTTTTGTGTTGATTACTTTCTTACTGACATTGTTTATTACCTTCCTTTAGAAAAACATTGTTGACAAACACTACTATGTTTGATGATGGTGTGTTCATCAGTAATTCATATTTGGAAATGTATAGTTAAGACAAATATTTTTATTAACATTTTCTACCAGTTCGTTCGTTCAATTTAATTTGAGTTACCCTTGTTCCCCATAACCTGGAAATACACCAATCATCATCACATTTTCTGGATTCGCATGTTAAATTTTTTGTCCATTGTTCAGTTCTAGTTTTGCGATCCCACTCAATCGCACCTGTGTTTGGCTGTTATATATTTTCTCTATATTAATGTCGCAAGTTTTAAGTTTTGCTTCTACACGGTATTTATAATACCTTGCTATTCTATGTCTTTTTTGTAATAACTTGTAACATGCATGTGATATTAGCATTATCAGACAAATAATTTGACTGACTTTGGTTCAAATTTTATTGGCTTATTGTATCGCATATTGTGTGGCACTGCTCTTATGTATGACAGAGAAACAGATAATTTCGCATTACAATCCTTTTTCTGAGAAGTGTTGACCTACATACCCGATTTTGTAGCAAACTGCTTGTGTACTTTTTGAGCATAGTTATTTTTTCTTTACCATTACCCTATTGTTAAATGGTGCATGTGCGTCTTTTCAATGTGCCAATTACAACTATTTACATCATATTTTTGGTGACTTTGTGCATAATTATCTACAGTATAATATTATGTGAACCTATTTTATTGTTTTCTATACAGCTGAATTGTTAAATGACTGTAGATTAGCACTGATATGGATAATGCATTGTTGTATTCCAATGATGAAATACATTTGGATTTAAGTTTTGATCCTGTAGAACAATTTGGTGATGTTGATCAGAATTCTCATGAGGTCAACTCCAGTGATATAGCCGACCCGGTAACTATTGATTGTGTAAATATGCATGATGTTATTATAGCAGATTGTGAAATTGAAACAAGTAAAGACTTTCAGGAATCCGTAATTGAACATGCAAATGGGTATGATATTCAGAATGGTAACGAAGTACCTCATAATAGCAATAATTCAGCAGAATATGAAGGTATTGTCGCTAGTGAATCGCAACAAGTTGTAGATGCTTCATCTTCAGAGTCTGAATGCGACTCTTCAGATCCAAGTTGCAATGAAAGTCGTGGTTATGAAATGGAGGATATTCATATTTCATCAGATTCGGAGCCACATTCTGATATGATCATTGTAAATAGTGGTTCAGATGGTGACAAAGTTTCAAGTAGTGAATTGGACAAAGAGGTGTCTCATATAAAAAATCCAAGCCCTGTTAAAAAAAGCCACAAATTGGAGTCTATTACTAATAAATTACTAATGACAGAACTGAAAAATATGGCATCTATTAATATACCATCTTCTGGCCAGAATATTTGTGCTAATAGCGGCAGTAAATCAAGCATTGATAGCTTAAAACAGGTTGATTATACTGATACTGTTTTGTTTGTTGCTTCTGATTCAGATTCTGAACCAGAAGTTATTGAAGAAGTTAAACTATCATTATTGAAAACGATTAAACCAAGGAAGAAAAAAGGTAAAACCCACATTAAATATTTTTGTGAGGTATGTGGTAAGGAATTTGCTGTTAAATCAAACATGAAAAGACATACAAAACTACATTTTAGGACTGATAGGAAAAGAGCTCCTAAATCTCAAGGTTCAGACTTTCCTTGTGGAACTTGTGGCAAAGTTTTAACTAAACAATATCGGTTAAAAAGACATATGAAAGTACATGAGAAAAGGAAAAAAACTGTGGCATGTTTGTTATGCGATAAAACATTTGCAACTAAAATTAGTATGGAAGCTCATTTGAAAGACCATGTTGGTGAAAAACCATATGAATGCAAAGAATGTGGGACAAAATTTAAACACGAAGCCCATATGCTAAACCATGTGAAAATACATGCCGGTATTAAACCACATCGTTGTGATGAATGCGGAAAGTGTTTTATTCGCCAAAGCGATTTGAAAACTCATGCAAGAATACACACTGGTGAAAAACCTTTTCTGTGTACAACCTGTGGTAAAGAATTCACTCAACGTGGTCATTTAGACAATCATGCGAAGATACACACAGGCATTAAGCCTCATGTTTGTGACACTTGTGGTCGAGGATTTGTTAGAAGAACTGACATGACAAGGCATATCAGGACTCATACCGGTGATAAGCCTTACATCTGTGAAGTATGTGGAAAGTCATTTGGGCAATCAGGACAATTTTTAATTCACACTAGAGTACATACAGGTGAAAAACCCTACTCTTGTGAGAAATGCTCAGAACGCTTTCCGTTTTTATATGGATTTAGGCAGCATCAGAAGATATGTACTTCTGGTGATGATATACCATCATCATTGGTTTGTGCTAGCACATCTCAGCTAACAGATAAAATTGTACATGACATTGTTGCAAACATGGAATGACAGTTGAGTATTCAAAGTGCCAGTTCTATTCATAAAGTTGTTTGATTGCAAAAAGTGTCTAAATATCTTTTCCGTTTGAAGTGTTCAATCAGTATCTGTTTTTCAAATGTTATTTTTATGGTATTATGTCATTTCATGTGTCTGTTTACATTCAACTGTGGGCATTCCATTGGTGGTATGAAGTTTTTTTTATTAATCGTCCTGTTTGGGTTAAGATGTCTTATAATGGTGATATAAAATAATAAAACATAGATCTGTCAATGTCTGTTTTAGTTTGAAAATTGGGATCTCTAGAAGTATGTGCACCAAGATGGCGCACATTCTGAACATAGTATGTGTACCAGGTTAGGGTTCAGATTGTGTGCCATCTTGGTGCACATTCTTCGGGAGCGCCGAAAATTGTTATATATTACATTGTGCAATATGTCGTCTATTTTTGTAAAATGCTTATAAAGCAAGGCTAAATTGTTTTGCGTGTTATTGCTTTTGTTCAGTCGCCTCTAGTTGCTATTTCATTGTACTGACAGTATTTCATTTATTTTGGTGTCTCTTAAAAATGCTTTGCTAATATTTTCACCCCAGATTATTTTGCAGTATGGGTGGTTAAATATAGTTAAATTACTTTTTTAATTTTATTCAAATACTTAATTCATTTTGAACATGTTCATTTATCTATTTTCTGTATTACTTTTTGCACACAACTGTTGGATATATCTCGTACCATAGGCTACTTGTTTTGTTTATCATTAGAATTCTGCCATTTTCCAATAACTTTTTTTTATAAATCTATCAATAGTACCACTAACGAAATGTGATGTATTTTCAGACTAATAGCGATAATCAGCAAATGGCAACAATGGATTCCACTAACTCTCAAATTACTATTGAAGTTAGTGGTTCTGACAATATTATTCCTGTGAAAGAAAACATTGTCAAAAACTGGGAAGAATTTGTTTGCGATACTTCAACATCCTTACAGAATGATGCAGATGTTCAAAATGTCGATGAGGAAACCGAAAATGATTCAGCTTATGCCATCACAATGGATGGTGAATCCCAGGGTCGTATTGTTCGGATACACCCATTGACTGTAGATCATCACCAATACCAATCACTCATTGAAAAAGAAGGAAATATTGTTTTATCTGATAAAAACATTATTCTCCAGTTGAATGATGGACAAAATGAAAATGGGGAAAATAATATGAATAACTGTACTAAAGGCGCAGGTGAAACACTGGCAGGAGATATTCCTGTATTATATGTCACTGAGAATATAAAATGTAGCGAGGAAAATGATACATTGCAAGAACATATAAGTAAGTTTTCTCCAAGAAAATCAGGACGCTCCAAAAAATCTTCGTTTTGCCAGAAATTTAAATTGGAATCAATTACTGATAAACTTTTGACGTCTGAAATGCATTGTAAAATATCAAGAAGAAAAAAGAGCTCACTAACTGAAAATGCGGAACCCACAGAAACATTGGTTCTTGTAGTTTCAGACTCTGATGATGATTTATCTCCTACATATACAGTAAGATTAAATAAACAAACTATGAAACCTCAAGCAAAAAATGGGAAGAAAGAGAGTAAAACAAGAAATGAACGAGCGCACAAATTTAAAAAATCTCATTCCAAGCCCAATATAGATAAAAAATTCAAAACCACGAAAGCATTAAATTCTGGAATTAAATTTTATTCATGTCGCAAATGTGGCAAGAATTATCTTTCACAAGATGAACTAAAGCTCCATAAGACATCTCATGCAAATGAAAGGTCTCATATATGTGCAGTATGTGGTAAAGGATTTCTAACTACAACTCATTTAGTAAGACATTCTATTACTCACACTACTGGGAGGCGTATTTTTTCATGCAATCAATGCTCAAGAAGATTTCTCTCACAGACAACCCTTGATCTTCATCTGCGGGTTCACGCTGGTGAGAGACCTTACCGTTGTACGAAGTGTGACATGGGTTTCACTCAACAAGGTCATTTACTGGGACATATGCAAATACACTTAGAAATTAAGCCTTTTGCTTGTACTCAAGAAAGATGTAATAAAACTTTCGCAAGACGAAGTGATTTAAATAATCATATCAGAACTCACACAGGGGAAAAACCTTTTCTATGTACTACCTGTGGTAAATCCTTTGCTCAACGTGGGTACATGGAAATTCATGCTAAAGGTCATTTAGGTCTAAAACCACATGCTTGTAATGTATGTGGTAAGCATTTTACTAGAAAGACCGGCGTAACAAGACACATGCTAATTCACACAGGTGTTAAACCATATGTTTGTGAAGTATGTGGAAAAGGTTTTGCACAGTCTGGCCAATATAAAACACATTCTCGAGTGCACACAGGTGCTACACCATACTCATGTGATAAATGCCATAAGCAATTCACACAATCAGTCAACAGAAACAAGCACATGAAAAAATGTACAAAAGTTTCTGCTCCTAGTATTTGTGAAGACAATATTAACTCTGGCAATAATCAAACCTCTGATGATATTGTGAGTTTTCAAAAGTTTTTAGATATGGATTTACCAACCAAAATGAACAATGATATTCATTAATTGCCCATGCCCATAAGGGCTTTTGTCCCTTTACAAAACTTGATGTCAAGTAGGCGAACAAAATTAGTTACCTCTATATTGGTACACATACTTCTGGAGCGCCCAATTTTCTATGAATCTTTGAAAAGTATCTTATAAATACATTGCATCACCAGGGATTCACTGCATGTAAATTCACATAGACACTTTATTTATAATTTTCATGTTGTAATTCTCAGTAAGAAGAATTCTTCTTTTTGCTCATAGTTACCGTACTTATTTACTGTTATAAAACACGCTGTCATTGATTGTCCATGAAAAAGCAATATGTGAGTGTAAAATATTTATTCCAAGCTGTATTGCAATTATTTCTCGAATTTTATAATCTGAAAGAGGTGTTCATACTTGAGTGTCGAAGTCACTGTCACTGTATGATTATAATATAGGATTAGGGTCATCTCTGCCTGGATCTATTTTTCATATTTTTTAAGAAAGTCACCACCACAGACTATTTCGAAACAGACTATGTATTATAAAAGCATTTAATAACTTAAAATATATCTACATATTGTGCAATTACCGTAGTTATTGCAGCCTGCGATTCTACTTTTTTAAACATTGTTAAATAGGTGAGAAAGATCTTGTACCGGGTGCTTCATTTGTAGAATTATAATTCATGAGGGGGTGACTAGTTGAAGATGTCATTAAATAAAACTTACTTGATTTTTTTGTCCAATCTCTTTGTGTATGTATTACTTACCATATTCATTTTGTTTTCATTTATTTATATTTAATTATAGCGAACACATTTTATTCAATGAATACTGCCTTCGATATGGAATAGAGTTTTATATTTATCTTGCCTATGTCTTCTATTTTCAGTATCTGAATAGTAATTCACTTATAATTAAAAAGCAGTGTTGTCAAATACCATTCAGTGTAACAATGAATGAAGACGTCCAAGATCTATTTGAAAATGAGGATAATACGAATGGGGATTTGGATGTTGGAGAGACTTATGCTATCACAATGGATGGAGAATCTCAAGGTAGAATACTTAGAATTCAACCTTTTAATACTGGTCAAGAAAAAGATAAAAATGATGAACAATTGTATCAAGGTATTGGAGAGTATCTGGTTGATGTTGGAGATAGATTAGAGCAAAGGAATGAGTCTCAAGCAACAACCACGGAGGAACTTGGAGACAATGAAAATTGTTCGAGTGTTGGGATTGGTAACTCAAATCAAACAACAGAAATTGTTCCCAAGCTATGTCGAAAATCGGGGCGCTTAAAAAAATCTTCGAAAATAGAGAAATCGAAACTGGAATCTATTGCTGATAAATTCTCAAATTCAGAAATGGGTAGCAAAACACCAAGAAGAAAGCGCCGCTCAAAATCTATAAAGCTTGCAAACTCCAATAATGATGCCGAGTTGGCAGAAGGAGGAGACACATTTGTGCTTGTTGTTTCTGACTCCGATGATGATCTACCCCTCATTCCTGCTCTAAAATTGAAAAAGCAATCACCAGTAATAAAATCATCTACTGAAAAAAGGAAGAAGGACAATAAAACTAATAAGTCCAAAGCACATAATGCTGATCAAAAAAGGAGCCCAACAAGCTCGAAAAAATCGAAAACAAAAATTAATTCTTGTCCCATATGTAAAATAAATTTTACCTCAGATAAAGAATTAAAGTTACATAAAGTATCACATGCCCAAGAGAAGCCTCATTCATGTGATGTATGTGGCAAAGCTTTTTTGACATCTACTGATGTACTAAGACATAGTGTTGTCCATTCCCAAAACAGAAAAACATTTGTGCCTTGTACACTATGTCCACGAAAATTTCTCACTCAGACCAACCTGGATTTGCATCTTCGAGTTCATGCTGGTGAAAGACCATATTGTTGTAACAAGTGTAACATGGGTTTTACTCAACAAGGTCATTTGATTGGTCACATGAAGACTCACTTAGAAATCAAACCACATGCTTGCAGTCAAGGAGGATGTACAAAAACTTTTGCAAGACGAGCTGATTTAACAAATCATATAAGAACTCATACAGGAGAAAAACCTTTTTTATGCACCATATGCGGTAAATGTTTTGCACAGCGAGGCCATATGGAAAATCATTTCAAAATTCATTTAGGTGTCAAACCACATAATTGTGATATATGTAGCAAACCTTTTTCGCGGAAAGCGGATGTAACTAGGCACATGCGTATTCACACAGGCGTAAAACCTTATGTTTGTGAAATATGTGGAAGAGGTTTTGCTCAGTCTAGTCAATATAAGACTCATTCTCGTGTACATACTGGAGCCAAACCATACTCATGTGAGAAATGTCAAAGGCGATTCACGCAATCAGCAAATAGAAAAAAACACATGAGAAATTGCAAAAAAAGCGCTAATACTGAGAATTGTGAAAATTCCAATTCTGGTATGACTCAGAACACTGATAATATTGACAGTTTTCAAAAACTCTTGAACATGGATTTGTTAACTACAAGTGAAAGGTCTTTAATTATTGAAGCTTCATCTAGTTCCAATGAGATAGTCGGAACATAGTTCTGAGTCAGCAAAAAAATTCAAATTTGTATATATGTGCCATAGCAGTTTTCATGCTTTATATATTTTCTGTGCAAATGCTTATCTATTGTGCAGAGTTCATGTGCAAAAAAGTATTATCAAATTTCTTTGTATTTTTCGATTATTTATTTGGGTATCATAATTTCTTGTTAAAATATTTAATTTTGGAGAAGATTCTTTCCACTCTAAAATTTGCTGACTAATTATGTCATTATGTTCATGTAAAATATTATCCATATAATATGGATAACCTTCAGAGTTCAATAGCACCTTAAAATACCTATGGGCATCATAGATGATGGAATAGGGCTGGGGGGCTGTTCCGAAATCACAGTAGCCACTATCATGAAATGTTTGCCCAAATGCAGTTTCGTGGAAGCGTGACTCCAAACAATGGTATAACGATTTCCTATTTCAGCAATTGAAGTTTTGAATGTATAAATTTAAGTTTATGGAAGTTTATGAGCTAAAAAGGATAGTTTTTATCATTTGTATGAAGTATTAGAAAATTATGAATGTTAAAAAATAATTATATTTTTAAAGAGCTGGAGCCACTAGCTTCGGCTCCAGCCCATTTACTCAGTAAGCTTGGCTCTAGGTCCAACTCCCCAGCCCTGGAAATATCTGCTCCATGTTAAAAAGAATTGATAAATTTTGTAGTTATACAAGTTATTCAATTTTCTGCGCAAATGCTTATCTATTGTGCAGAGTTCATGTGCAAAAAGGTAATATCAAAATTCTTTGTATTTTTTGATTATTTATTTGGGTGTCATAATTTCTTGTTAAAATATTTAATTTTGGCGAAGATTCTTTCCACTCTAAAATTTGCTGACTAATTATGTCATTATGTTCATGTAAAATATTATCCATATAATATGGATAACCTTCAGAGTTCAATAGCACCTTAAAATACCTATGGGCATCATAGATGATGGAATAGGGCTGGGGAGCTGTTCCGAAATCACAGTAGCCACTATCATGAAATGTTTGCCCAAATGCAGTTTCGTGGAAGCGTGACTCCAAACTATGGTATAACGGTTTCCTATTTCAGCAATTGAAGTTTTAAATGTATAAATTTCAATTTTCAAATTAATATTACTGGTATAAATTTTTATTTTTAAAAGTTTATGAGCTGAAAAGGATAGTTTTTATCATTTGTATGAAGTATTAGAAAATTATGAATGTTAAAAAATAATTATATTTTTAAGAGCTGAAGGCACTTGCTTCGGCTCCAGCCCAAGTTATTCAATTTCTCTCTGCAAAGCCATCCTCATTGTTTACACAGCAGCTCAATATCCCTTATTAACAGAGGATGCCATTCAATTGAGGATTAGATAATATGGGGTGTTCATAAAATGCATGACAATTGCAATTTGGCTATGAGGCCAGTTCTCAAAGTATCTCAGCCAGGTCTGTTCTATTTCAATCAATGTTTGTTTAACCTTTTCTTAATTCATTCAATACGCCTATGGGGGCCAGAATACTATACATGATATCGACAAATTTCCTTTTTGCAATTGAAAATTTTTTAGGACTTCATGAGCACCCTTGTATATCGACCCCCATTCTTACCTGTAAAGGCAGAAAAACATATTTTTCATATAATAGTCTTCTATTCTATCATTTGGATGATTTTTTCGTTGTTAATACTGTTTTATGAATTATTACGAGTATTGTTGACCAAAAAAATTCACTGTTATTCAATTCAATATTTTTTGTTATCTAGAATAGCTAAAATTGTTTTCTTTCTGAAATATCAGCTCGTTTTAACTCTATTTCTAATTTTATTTAGAATATTATTGTGAGAGTATTGACTACCAAAATTGATTCTGCTCTCTCACTAGTGATAGTGTGTTGATAAATTATTGCATAGGAATGAATGCTTTGAATTCTCAGCCAGAAAAGGAGCCAAATGGATTAAAAGATAAAGTACAAATCCCAGCTGAATATGTCAATGAAAAATGTAGTTTACCAAGAGAAAATATCAACGAAACAGATTGTGTGAATAGTGGTGATCCACCAGTAATCATGAGATGCAATTTAACAAAAATTTGGTCAAATGAAAGAATAAAATCAAGAAGGAAATCATGTTCTGGGAATAATCATGATAAGGTTGGAATAGAATCGAAAAATGATGCAAATACAACTAAAATTACTAAGGGATGTTGTGAACAGCAAGAGAATTCGGAAATTTCTTCTAGTAGAAGATTTGCTTTAACCAAATATAAACAACATGAATTACGTTCTGATACTAAACCATGTGAAGCACCATCAGAATCTAGTGAATATTACAAAACATGGGAAAAAAAATTCAAGCGCAAATTGGGGAACATCGATGCTAAAACTAAATCTAATAAATTTGATTTGTCATTTGCTGTCAAAAAGAAAAGGATAAATAACAAAATACAAACGAGAGAATTTGTCCAAAAGGAATGCGAATATTTTTGTGATGCTTGTGGACGCATGTACAATTCTTTTGAATGTTTAAAGTGTCATATTCGGGCGGTTCATTTTCGAAAAGATCAAATCATTTGTGAAATTTGTGACCAGACTTTTATGTGGAAGTCCGATTTAAAACTGCATGAAGACACAGAGCATCCTGAATTTTCAGACAAACGTTTTTCTTGTTCTTTGTGCCGCAAAAGATTTCATACAAGACAACAATTAGATATGCACATTCGCAGCCATAATGGTGAATTTAAATGCTCAATTTGTAACATAAACCTGTGCAGTCAGGAAAGTTTAGTTCAGCATACCCGTAGGAAACACACTGGGGAGATGCCATTTAGTTGTTTCCTTTGCAATAAATCTTGGGCTTCAAAACATGAACTGAAATTTCACACTCGAAAAGTTCATCTTGAAGAAGCAAAATTTTCATGTGAGAAGTGCGATAAAATGTTCTTTTCTAAAAAAAATTTTATCGGCCATGTTGCGTCTCATGATAATAATTTGTGTTCGAATTGTGGGAAGAAGTTCAATGGTTATTATGCTTATGAAACTCACTTACCTACTTGTGAACGAAAATCGGTGCAAAGTTCGTCATCTGACCCTTGTTTATCCAACAAACTTGATTTGCTACGTCGAAAATAGTGTTTATACTTGAAATATATTTCTGTATAAATAAATTGTTTTTCTCAAATGTGCAGCTAGCTTACTGTGGTTAGACTTTGATTCAATTGTGGTTTGAAAATTTGACATAAAATCCTTGCTTTAGGATAAGATTTTGTATTATCCCAGGTGGAGAGGTAATACCGCAGTGTTCACTCTAAGGAAATTATGAGTGCGAATGTGCCTCGCATGTCCAAGATAAAGTATGAAAGTGAATAGTGAACACTGTAATACTACAGTCTCCCATTAGTTTACCAGATTGTCTTGTTATGATCAAAATTAATAAACAATATACAAGTAATAATGATAACATGTTCACTCATAAAATCTTCATGTAAACCTATTAATGACAATGTGATTTCCTAAGAAATTTGAATTTTCTTTTTGTTTTTTACGGTCTTGAACAGTTGACATATTAGTCGGTCAGCTGTGATTTTACTGATTTCACCTCTTTATAAGAAGTACCAGTAACCAGTGTTGGGATTCCAAATTTAGAAATGGCTTCTATTTTGTATCGAAGTCATCAACAACTGGTTTCCTCATTTCAGATATGTGTGTCAGTTTGTAAGTTGAATTCAGATGACATGATTTGCATAAATCTAATAACTGGCTTTCGCGAATACCAAATATAACACTAGTAACACAGCTGGAGTGAATGGTACTCATTTGCTATGCCCGTCTAACATCTAAAACAAAGAAGGACAGCACTGAATCCCGCCATTGAAGTAACTCTTATAGGAGCATATCAATTGACCTTGATCACATGTAAAACGACATAAATATATATAGTCATTGTTTTCTCTGTGTTATTTCTTACTGGTTAAAATATTGTACGTTTTAACTTGGCTCAAAATCCCAAATTTTAAATAAAAAGTATTCCTAAATTCAAAAATGTACTATATGAAATACAATAAATTTCGTCGCTTTTTTTTTGGACATCAATGTTATCAAGTCTTGGAATGCTCTTTGTATTGATATTTGATGAAGCGGAATTTTTTGGTTTTTAGCATCTTATGTGCACCAGCAGTAAGAGGAATTATTTGGGTGTTTTCTATGTACATTAGATAACTTTTTGTCTGTAGCAGGTCCATATGCAATTTATTTCTATTACCTACTTCTCTTTATTTCTTAGTATTTCTACAGTTGTTGTAGGCCATTACAGTAATATTTTGTTGTATTGTTTGAGGATATTCATGCATTGTGCATATGCTGTGTTCTCAGGCTTTCTATCAGAAGGGAAGGGAACTATCTTCATTCTTAATTATTTATCTCTTTTTCCAATATCAAAATTTCGGCTAGACATTATGATTGGACTTGAAACTTTGTACTTTCAAAATAGATTTTGAAAGTGGAAATATCATTTAGTTTTTTATGATTATATTATTTGTATTTTTCTTCAGCAATATTTATTGGAATACAATTAATACAGTTATGAAAAGGATGGAAATGAACACTTGACTGCAATTAAAATGTCAGGAGAGATTGATCAATCTAAGAACTGCAATGCAGGGGTAGAAAGAACTCCATCACAATCTCCTAAAGATCCGTCCTCACCAAAAAAATTAACTGAAGTTTCCACAGAAGGGAAAACAAGGGATTCAGAAACTCTGACAAAAGATACTGAAATAAATTCTACTACATGGTCTGCCACAAAAAAGAGGAAATCCACTATATTGAAAAACCAGAACTCATTTTCTCGTAAAAAACGCTTGGAGATGGCTGTTAAAAGACTGCGAATGACACAAGAATCACTGAATTCATCTAATGGATCGGTTGATGTTGCCAATAAAAGTTCACAACCGAACCTTCCAAATGATGGAAAATTCCCCTCTCAGTCCCTGCTCGGCCAAGATAATTTCATTCGCAAAGATTCTTTTATTCCTTCAACTATCAATCATAAAAATCCAACACACACACCTTCCAAGTTAATTTTTGATGCTAATACCAACATTCCTCTTAATTCAAATTCTCCATTCCGTCCACTGCCTACCTGTAGTTTCTCTGATTCGAACATAGTTTCCGATATTTTTAAAAATTTCAACGAACTAGCTGTCAAACATTCAATCTCCGATGCCGATTTATGGGAATTAAATAATAGTTTAAATAAATCTCTACATGATATTTTTCCCCTATTACCAAATGGGAAGGATTTAATTGTCAAAGCTGCGACTGATTTAATCAAAGACATCCCCAATCCACTTTCTCTATCATGCTCTGATATACATTCATTGATACATTCGGCTATTCAAAATCACTCTGAGTCAAAAATGGATACTTCGATAGATTCGGCAACTCAAAATTGTTTTGAGTTAGAGATGGATTCTTCAGTATTAAAAAGTATAGGAAAAGAGCAAGGAAAAACATCCTGTATCAAACAAAATGATAATGTATATTTAAAGTCAGACAATTGGTCTGGTGAAACATCTAAACTTTTAAATCATAAGTCAAATGAAGTTATATCAGATTGTACTCATTCTGGTGAGGATTGCTCCTTATTGAAAGAAAAAGGAACATCTGATAAAGATGAAAAAAAAGAAAGCCTATTGAATTATCTTGCAATATCGAATTTAAAATCTAATCAGTCCCCAAGCATGGTTTTAAGTGGTGGAAATGGTGCTTCATTTGCCAATGCTAGGTGTAGCATTTTAAATAAATACAAGAATATAACCACCAGTCTAAGTATTTCCAAACTTTCTGATTCCAATGAAGCAAATAATACTACTGGAAGTTCAAATGGAAAACCGTATGTCTGTCCCATATGTGGAAAGTCATACTTGTATAGTACACCTTTTACAAGTCACCTAACTAAACACATGGAACCTAATGGTCATTCCTGTAAATACTGTGGCAAGATTTTCAACTTTCAAAGTCATTTAATGAGGCACTTACGAGTTCACACTGGAGAGAAGCCATTTTCATGTGTGCTTTGTGACAAGGATTTCACTGATCAAGGTCATTTAAAATCTCATATAAAGGCACATAGAGGCGAAAAATCATTTGCATGTGAAGAATGTGGAAAGAGATTTTTAAAGCAATCAGATGTCAACAGGCACATGAGAGTTCACACCGGTGAAAAGCCTTATTGTTGTATGACATGTGGGAAGTTTTTCAGTCGTCAAACAAATTTGCAAAGCCACATGCGAACTCATACTGGTGAAAGACCTTACGAATGTGAAATTTGTGGTAATGCCTTCGGTAGGAAGGATACTCTGCTCCAACACAGAGTTATGCACACAGGAGATAAACAGTTTGCTTGCGAGGAATGTGGAAAACGGTTTGTCAAGCGGTCTGATGTAACACGCCACATGCGAACGCATGAAAGACATAAATATAATTGTCTAGCATGTGGAAAACACATACCAAAATATAAAACAAAAATTACCTCTAAAAGTGGTCAACCTCCACCTCTAATTTGTGATGCTTGCACTCGAACATTTTCAACAGCCGGTGCTGTTATGAAAGACTCTATTTTTTCAGGCCCCAATGTTGATGAAAATGCTACTTCTGTAGCTATGAATTCACTAGCTTTTGGACTTGGTGATAGTTTATCCCTAATGTCATCCGTATCTGGCTCTATGTTTCCATTCCTATCTGATAAAGACTGGGGGAAGCATGCTGCCACTGAACATAGCAGTAAATCTCCTAACGATTCAGCAAAGAAGGAGGGTGAAGTATATAAGACTGAAACAACTGATCAACCAACAAGCTCAAAGCAAGAATCATAATAGGCGTCCACAGAAACCTTGGTATTCTGTCAAATGTCAATATCATTCCTTCTGATGTTAATGCAATATTTACTGAGCTAGATGAATATAATGAGGTCAAATCTGTTTCTTAATCCTTGAGATAAATTCTTATTGCTAATTCGGATTATTGGGGATCAAACACTCACTGACTGCTAAAGAAAATTAATTTGAATCAAAATGGGATTGGGCGTGCAAAACCACTGAAAGTCCTGGTTTTTATGAATGTATTGTTGAATAATTAATTAAATCAGGTCCAACATGCTTGGATATTTTAATTTCTTGTATATTTGTTTTCGAACTGTGTCTTTTCGAACATTCCTTCGACACAAAGCAAATCGGCCCCAATTTATTGTATCAATCATGATAAATTTTCTTTTATAAAAAGTTGAAAAGGGTTCATAGTATAAAATTTGACACAACCGAACATTCTGATTTTGTTTATCAACAGTACATTCAAGAGAATGATGCCTGCCGAGTAAAATTACAAAACAAAACCGATTGACTGATATAGTCAGGGCTTCCATACTTTACTTATTTTGGGACTTTTATGAAATAAATTTGAGATAAACAGAACATAAATTTCAATGTCGAAAGCAAAGTGTTATACATTTAATACATTTGTTAATACATTTATGTTTTTTATGCTTTATTAATAGACTGCCATCTCTATTTTTGATTTCAGGCTAATTGAATCCCTGGGTATACAGCTCTGTAAGTCATGGGGAAAAAAAACGGATTGCTATAAAATATCTTTAAATTAAAATTCGTATCAGAAGTTTATGGTTGCAATAGTTTGAAATCCAATCATTTGCTATTATCATCATCATATCTAACATTTATTATAATGAAATTCTAATCATTATTTAATTTAGCTCTACATTGGAGATGGAAAACATAGTACGATTTATGGATGTCATTTATACCTTGCATTATAATTTCTATCAGGGGAGTGCAACTGGCCGGCTCCTTTATGTCGCAAAGCCTATACCTGAGTCCAATTTATTATCTATGCTTATGACATAATAATGCTCTAACAGCTAGTTTGTGCGGATGACGCATTTAATAAGATCAAATTTTTGTGCCTACAAGGCTACAACTACTGGAAAGCCTATGGTCAAAAAAGTGAGGCCTGCAGTTTCATTGTGTTATTTTTATCTGGCCCTCCTGTATTAAAGGTTGCACACCCCTGATTTTTGAGAAAAACTATTTCTATTCCAATTATTAACTGAAGAGCTTTAGTGAAACTTGGCTCATACTGTATCAACTGTTTAAAGCGGCTGGCCCATCATCAGTATTATCTTGGTATTGGTTTTAATAAGTATCATTCTTTAATTTTTTTTACTTTTTCGATATGATGATGCTTATGTAATGATTCTCATGTTGGTTTGTTTGCATGGAACGATAATGAAGATTAGCGCCTTTGTACTTAATATAGTTTTGTTGCTCTTATGTGTGATCTTGTAACTGATGAATGTGATGATCAGTCTTTATATATTTTGTCTCTCTATTATTGTATCATATCAAATAATTGTATGTGCCTTTGTATAACAGTACTATGTATATTGCTATATTGTTTATTCCTTTTTTATTTCTATTTCGAGAATTTGGATTAGTATATAAAATATTACAATGACGACTCGACCTTCATGCTTGCTAATATGCAGTGGTCATACTGAAGGGGTTTCGGCACAGTCGTTTATTAATGCTTTTACAATCACTAATTCAGTTTTTGTTCTCCAAGTTGCAACTCCCCAAGGTCTTCCCATCAATTTTGTCAATCAAGATGAAGGCAGCAGAAAATGGGTTACAGAATTTCGTACTAAAGCTTACACTGCTCCGATAAAAGTTGAAGCTGTTGATCCTTCCAGGTATTCGTCTCTTCTAATCCCCAGCGCCCCGGGGGCAATTCATGATTTGGCAAAGCATGATTCAGTGATGCATATTCTCAGACATTTCGTCAAGCATCAAAAACCGATATGTGCAATCGGCTTAGGTGTTGTCGCTCTTGCAGCAGCAAAAGATGAAATGAACTCATGGTGTTTTAAGGATACAGCATGACTGGTCCTTCTGTTTTTTGATCTGATTGAAACAAAAGAATTTTCTGCGCTTCCATTCATTTTCGAAGAGTTTGCGAGAGACAATCTGGCTTCATATACATCGAGCCAAAAAGGATGTATACATACGGTCATAGACAGACATTTGATAACCGCTCAGAATGAAGAATCAACTTTGAGCGCGGTTCAAAATCTTCTACTATTGAGTGGTCAATGATTCATTGATTTAATTGAACACTACTATTATTTATATATATATAGCTTATATATGCAAAGAAATAGACATAACTAACCCTAATCGGCGTTTCATATATTTCCTTTGATTATTTTGATTTTAAAAGTTATCTATTATTTGGTGCCATTCTTATACCAATGATATCCAAAAGCTAATCCTGATTTCAAAGTATTCATTTAAAATGTTCTGAGAGATTTGGATATTCATTCGTATTTTTCTGGAAATTTTGCAATAAATGCTATAGTTCTGTTATCATAAAATCTTATCTGCAAATCTTTCCTTTTCACCAACACTGTTTTTATTGGAGATTTTCGAGTTTCGAGAATTTTTTTTTTTTTAAGGCTTATTTTTTAAATCTGGTAAATTTGAAATTGGTCCACAAGAGAGCGACAAAAGTCGTTTAAGTCATTTATGGATTCTGCAACTTGTACTGATGTGTTGGACGTGGGATATTTCATTTGCGATAAATTAAGCTATTTTCTAAATCATGAATTTAAGTACATGTATTACAAATCTCATAAAATTCCTTACATTCCCTACTTTTAAATTGAAGAATACACGCTCTGTTCAATATTATATATTGTCATGCCATTACGCTGATGTTCCTTTATAAAATCGCGTTTATTGTTTTTCCTAAATATGTCTTATTATGCTGCTTTTATCGGAGATTTTTGATTAATCGATGCCTAAAAATGCTTGTTTTTTTACAACTGGGTGTGGAAATCGTTTTGAAATATTATAGTTTCCACAACTGGTATAATGGCAATAAGGTATATGAAATGCAATTTAGTTGAAGTACAAAATTTTTAGGAATGCCGAAGTAAATTGTATTGTACTTCAAAACAAATTCTATTCAAACACACATTCGTACGAACGAGGGGATTTGAGTTATGAAAACGTGTATGACGATGAAGTTATCAAACTATAACCAGAACTTTGACATATTCATTGATCTGTTATTTGGTGTGTAGGCTAAATAGATTTATCGGTCTCAACAGCCGCAACTTTTACCTTCTTGCAGCGTTTAAATTTTGAAGGGCCTACATTTTTGCTCGAATAGCTTTTGTTTATGTCCTGCCGTCCTTTCGCTAATTTCCCCACGTCTGAACTCCTCATGTCTTGTGTATGATTTTTTTGCGGGAAAATCAAAATATACTTATACCGGTACTCTTACTAAACCCACCGTTGACCCGATCTGAGCTCCCCATGACGCTACTTTTAACTGGTGTCCCACATTCGAAACTTAACTCGATGTCAACTATGATAAATGTATCCATCACTCTTGATTTCAGTAATATTTTATATATATATACATATCTAATAATGTCGATCGATGTAAGTTGAGTTATAACTTATTCTCATGCGATGTTTAACAATTTATAACAGAACACATCCCATGTTCGAATATCAATGGCTAAGCGTTAGGAATACGCTCGCCACCGCACCTCTAATTACTCTGCGTGGGTTACGGCTCCGGTTACGGCTTCCGGTAACCGGTAACCGGACGAGAGGCCGTGGTTCGCCATATGGATAAGCCGTCTTATCGGCTTTCCTCTCCCCCGGGATAAATATGTAAATCATATCCACCACCAAGTCCATGCTTCCGAAAAAACAAACAATATAACTAATCCCATACCCGATTTGAAATGGTAACCGGACGAGAGGCCGTGGTTCGCCATATGGATGAGCCGTCTTATCGGCTTTCCTCTCCCCCGGGTGTAAATCCTATCAGTCAGACTATTGTTTTACTCATTTTCGAATGAGTTCATTACCTCATGTTTGCAGAGGGTTTGTGCCTTTGGTTATGGTTTATGCATTAGAAACATTATTTGTAGTTCATGTAAAACATAATAAAATATTGTTTAAACAAGAGAGCAACGCTCAAATATATGGACACGTGGACTAGAGCGAAGCAGGGTTTACCTTTGACGTTACCGGTACCGTACCCTCGAAAAGTTCCGGGTTTTCAGTCACGCTTGGCGGATTAAAAACCGTGTTCCCATAATTAAAAATTAATACAGCGCAATTTTGGATGAAATATTAGATCTAATAAGATTCATAGAAAATTCAGGAATAAATGAAAGTAATAGCCTTCTGGCAAATAAATCCATCTTGAACCACTGAAAATTCCAAAGCAATTGGTCCAGTATTCGAGGAGAAAAGCGATTTTTTAATGATAATGACGCAGGAAAATAACAATAACAACAAAATTTTGAAACGATCGTTATGACCACTAAACGTGTCCAAAACGTAGGAATCGTTATGTTAGTATTTAATTTTCACATAGCGGGCCGTACGCTTCAGAAGTAGGCGGAGGAACGGCAATACCACGAGAAGTCGGATCTTCACTGACGTACAGATTAGTTCTTGTCCAAGATGAATCATCAGTCGGAGTTTTATTTCCGCCGTACCAATACTCAATTGGAAATGTCACTTCTTGTCCTGTATTCAAGTAGAGCTTTCTGTTCTAGTAAATAAAATTAGTAATTCAAGCATAATGATAAATTGCCCAGCAAAAATAATTAACGGGAGAGCGATGATTAAATTAATATATGGGCACAAAAATCCAATAACCAAGCTTGTCCGTGGGAATGGGATTCTCATGGAGAGGGTCCCATAGGATGGGATGGGACAGCACACATTTGTATTTTCTATGGAGCAATTGCCATTTCATAAAACTTGATTACGTCACAGATAACCTTGGTATTTTTAGTTTTTTTGTTATTTAAATGTTTTTTATTACCTAATTATTATTATATTACCTAATTTCATCTATTATTTATTTTGTGGTGGGGCACCGGAATTTCGCAAAATTCCCATGGAAGGGCATAAAATGCAGTGAGATGGGATGAGACAGAAAAATATTTCCCATTTCCCACAAGCCTGCCAATAACTAACTGAAGAACCGATAGTCGATGATATTTCCACTTAAATATGACTGAGCACCACGTTCGCTAAACTAAAACGAAAGATAGACTTGGCTTAGGTGGTCACGTTTGACGAAGTGAAAACTTCGTTAAAGTGACATGAAACGGCAACTTTTGAGTGTATTAGCTCACAAGATTCGTAGAAATTCTGATAAAATATGTAGTCTCTCATTTTCATCTTTAAATACTGGAAATTTGAAATTGAATGATCCATTATTTACTTGGAAAAGCACTTTTTTCGCACCAAAAAGTTGCCCCAACAACAACGAAACGATTGTGAAAAGCGATACATATGGCAATGTCGTGTCCAATTAATTATATTTATCTTATAATTGATTGAAATGAAGACTTAAGAGTTTAATAGCCTGATTCAGTCATAAAAATGTGTTAAAACGTATCTCCCATACCTGATAAACTAATCCAATCCACACATAAAGAACATAAGTCGTTTTGGTTCGCAGGTAATCTTCAATCTTTTTGTAGTGGATCTGGTCATATATATTGGCTAACTGACCACCAATTTTAGTACAAAGTGCCTTTGCTGCGTCATATCTCGTTGTAGAGCGTATGAAAATGAAGCATTTCGAGTTGTACATGACATCGCAGTTTTCTAGTAAGAATATAAAAACTTTTTGAGTACTTGTGTGAGTAGCCTCACAATGATTTTTAAAATACAGGTAAATTTTGTTAGGTAACATCGAGATCATGACATAACAACCCGTTATCATTGTTGTATAATAATAAACGATGTCAAGCTACCAACCTCTCTCCAGTCTCTTGCTTTCTTCTAACTTTTCTCTCTCTTTCCTTTTGGTTTCTTCCAGTCTTGCTCGAATTTCATCCATGATGTCTAAAATAAAACTAAATTAATTTTAATTTGGGAACTTCTAAATTAGTTTAAAAGGCCCTAATAACGATTGTTCGGAATTTCTGGATTATTTCCAATCATTTCAGGATTATTCTGAAATTTCTGTGGAAATTCTAGAATCCTTGTCGCTTTTATCACGTAACAATGTTGAATATATTACACTTACCCTGGCCGTTGTCATTCTAAAAAAGAAAAGTAAAATAGAATTCAAAGTTCAAACATTTGAACGTAGGTATAAAATCTCTCGATACCTATAAGCTAAGCACAAATTAGAAATTACGATCAGTGTTTCTGTGTCGTAATCTACGTTTGACTTATTTTCGCACACTAAGAAAATTTCGCTATCGATTGGGTTTCTGTGCCGGTTGATCTAAAAGGATGCGGTAGCAAGAGTAAAAATACCTAAGGTGATTCAAGAGTCTTGCTGCACACTAACTATCGCAAAATATAAAACAGGGAGACACTCAAACAATCATTCAAACGTAAAAGAAATTTGTATGACGAAGAAAAATTATCGAGTTACTATTGTTCACATATGTTACGCTGGTGCAAATACAAATAAAACTACGGCAATATTAATCTGTGAACGATTTGTTCGTGTGAATATTTTATATTTACATACTATAAAAAATGTAGAAAATTTTGCATAAAACGAAGAATTAGTAGTATACGGGCCTTTTTATTTGATCTCAAAATATGAACAAAATGTGATTCAAAAACAGACCAGGCCAACACATATCTATAAATCATTATGTGATTTATACCTAAATAAACGAACAATATAAATATCTTGCCTCACACGATCCCACGGAGACAAGTTTTCCGTTGACCAATTTCCGCACGCAAACGCCGTCTGCAAAGTGAGCAAGTATATGTATATAAAATTGTTGTTATGTAAAATTCCCCTTTATCAGCAGATAAAGGATGAATCGGTTCTGAGTTTTAATAATTACAAACGAATAATATTTTTTGAGGCCTTTGAGGCTCAAGATATATGCAATGAATATGTTATTTTTGAGGAAATTGCGCCACCACGTGACTTTACGCCAAATGATTTAACACGATTTCCACAAATCAGAGGCGCACTGCTGAGCTGCGTCCATACCAGCACCGATACACATACTCACGACAAAGAAAGTTTATTTCAAATTTTGATCTGGATCGTATATAGATGATCAGATAATACATTTATGTGCATATTGTAGGATACGTACTATGTTACATGACTATTGGTACCAATTTTATTCAATGGACCTTCGTATTGAAGCATTTTCCTCTCGTTTTTTGAAATGGATATTTACCAATGTATCTCAAACTATGGAATTAGTTTTCATAGGCCTGAATTTGAAAGTCATAAAAAGCCTTACCTACCAGCAATGTTCCCTCTAATTTCTTGTAGTATGTGTGCGCAGAAATTTTGATGTGTGCGCACTTTTTTGGAAATGGCTAATATTTGTGCAAAAACCAATGAAGAGATTTTGGCATTCTAACCGGGTAATGGGTGGGCCAACAACAAACTTTCTCAACCTGCCAACCGAGAAAATTGTTACATTACATCGAAATACGTCTGTGCGCAGTAAATCTATGCGTGTGCGCAGCCTCTGAAAGCTGTGTGCGCGCGCACACGCGCACACCTTAGAGGGAACACTGCCTACCAGGAACATTTTCAAATGCAACGTTTGTGTAGGCGGTAAGTGCGAGTGCGAAGAATATTGCCCAGTTTGTCATATTTGGTTATATCGTTGTGTCATTAGACTATCTATTTATCTAATCTAATGAGATTACTCAAGGAATTTACTGCTTCTATTATTTGTGGTTGGACAGGCCCTGTAGCTGAGATACCAAAAAAATAACAACAACGTCTCAACCATTGCGAACGCAGCGCTCTTATTTAAAGCACACATCTTGGGTATAAAACGTTCATTTTGATTTCGTTTTCATAAAAACACGCTTACCTGGTGGTTCCTTGGATGAAGAAATTCCGGCGACGGCCAATAGCAAAGCACAGATCTTTTTCCAATCTGCCATAATCTGTGTTATACGAATGCTAGTTTCTTACTATTATAGACCTCTAATGTCGCATATGAAAATTTGCGCGACGTTTTGTAATACTGTGTGTAAACCATGAGAAATGTTTTTTATGGTCTTGCTTGGATCAAAAGCTAATTTCCTACCCAGCAATATAAGAAAATACTTTATATGGCGTTTGGAAGGGATAAAATATCGCTTACATTTTGAGCGTGTACACCACGCTGCGATAGAAAAACGTCGCACAACAAGAAAAATATTGCAATAAATTTGAATGTTGCGCGCCAACCAATAATCCAAGCAAGTCCACTAAGGTTTTATTTTGAAGTTCATTTCATTTGCTACCCAACATAAATTTGATTTTACAACATCAGGAAGGTACGAAAAGAACGATCAGGGTTGCCAGATCCCAGCGATAAAAAGAGCCAAATCAAGACTTAAAAAAGTCAACAAATTTGCTTAATACGAGAGCCCCATGATTTTTCCGATTTGGATTCCTTGGCACAATAGTAGATTTGCACAGTTTGCATAATGATGATGTAGAGCCATGAGTTGCCACACAAATTTCTTTTCCAATTAAAGTTGTATTTTCAGATTCAGATATTTATTTTCGGTTGCTATCTATCACGGCGATTTCCCACTTCAGTGGGATGAAGGGTTAAAAAGTAAAAAGGATTAATTGAATGGCAGCACCAAAATATATATTCGAAACAAAACAGCCAAGTCGTCATCTATATGAAAAAGTTTAAAAAAAATTGAAAAACCAAATAAAAAGAAATTTAAAGCGGACAGCATTATTCTACAATTCAATATATATAATACAGGGTGCCGCTTCAGTATGTGATATACCCACATGTTTCTACTTAAACTTCTCCCCATACCGTACTTTACTATTGAAAATATTTAATTTTTTTAAATTATGAAAACATCGTTTTTATTAAAATAATTGTCTGGCCACGTGCTGCTTACTAGTGGTCTACTGATACCTAATATTAGCGTAGTTAATCACATCGTTCGTGACACTACATTTTGATTACTGCAACTAAACTAAAGATCCTCGAAAGGCATACTGACAATTTAAGTTATACAACTATTTGTTGGAAACAGAACTAAAAACTGACAAATAACACGCAAAACTATAAAAACGAAGCAATGATTACAAGACTGCTTGAACATCTGTCTGAACGGCTGCAGAAACTGCAATAGTTACGTCGCTTATTTCTGATTGGTTATGGTAAAGCGTTAAGGTAATAAACAAGGAAATAGTTGCTCGCGGAAATCCAAATGTTGAGTAGCTAGCTAATAGGCTATTGTTGCACACTAAATATATATTGTATTTCATATGATTTTAATAATAGACTCTAAAAAAGCCAAACGGAAATACTGACGCCGAACGTGTTTGAAAAAAGCCCAAAATGTTAAATTTGGCGTTAGAAGAGCCAAAATGGCAATACTGAGAAAGAGCGTTTTGATCGCAGCTGCCGTTACAAAAAAAGTGAGTTTACATAAGCGTTTCACGATTATATTTCTTTTAATGATTCATAATAAATGTTCCGTTTATGATTCATAAAAGCTTTAACACGATAACGAACGAAGAACAACAGAACGATCGATCGAACAAGCACAGCCTAGCCTGATTCGATGCGGTGACTTTTCAAAGAGAACAATATTCACGCGCTGTATACTCAAGTTTGGTATCATATGAAACGTAAAATCAAGAAGCAGTCAACTGCATAGTCACATTTGAGTTTTAGAAGATAATAACTAAGCTATGATGACCTATCGTTAAAAAATAAAATGAAAAACTGGAAGTGAGAGTAAAATAAAAAAAATTAATGAAAAAAAACATAAGAATAAAAATAAAAATAAAAATTAAAAATATAAACGCGATAACAAAATAAAAAAATGCAAAACAAAATTAAAAATGAAAACGGAAGAAAAAAACTAAAATGCAATAAAAAGATGAAAAAAAATTAAAAAAAACGCGATTGAATTGAAAATAAAAAAGGTTGTCAAGCGTTTTCATTTTTGAAAATTTTGCTTCTGCTTGGGACCCCAACGTTGTCATGCATTATCCAACGCGCACAAACGGTGTTCCCTGGGTTTTGAGACCCTCTATCGTACCGGTACGTAAGTTTTGTTGTGTCCAATTTTTTATTATATATTGTCCTTCTCCGCAGACCAAGTACCGATACTGTATTGTACCATGGCTGGCGGTGGGGTAGGTCTGGTATCCAGTATTCTTAAGAGCAAGAGTACCTTCACGGCACGGTTACGACAGCCCTTAGGGCTATATACAAGCCGGCGGTAGGACCATTGCATTCATTGACAAATTATATTTTTATCTTTGCAGTTCTTAGGTACCAGTATAACACGGTGTAGCAATTGTTCGTTTTGTTGATGAAAATCATCAGGTATCATACGGTATTATGACAAAAAGTTGTGCGCCTGCTCACTCAGCGGTGACTAATAAAATGGCCCGCGACACTGTGTGACGATGATGTTACCAAACTATAACCAGAACTTAGACATATTCATTCATCTGATTTTTGGAGTGTATGCTAAATAGATTTATCGTTTTCAGCTTCGGAGAAACACTCATTTGCGCTCAAATTTATTTATCGTCATATATATCAGTTGAAATAAAACGTAATAAACCGTTTCCAATGTATTGGGAACGTTTCATTCAACATCTGTTATTTATTATTATTATTATATATTTATATTCATGCATGTACTGTGTCGTTCATGGTTTGACAAATAAAATAAACTCTCTTTCTCTCTCTCTCTCTCTTTCTCGACTGAGTGCGATGCTGCCGAATATGTATGTTTTTTGCACAAGTTTGGCATGTGGGTTCACCCACATGATGCGTGTAACAGAATGATGGATGTCTCAAAATGATTGACATTGGTCAATACCCAATGTAACAGAGGGATTTAAAACGAATAATTAACAACATTTGCATTTTGAAGAGATTCTCCAACCTGTCTTTCTTTGGCAAATTTCACTCCTTTACTTTTCTCACGTCTGAACTCTCTTGCTAACACTCCGTGAGATTTTCATCTCTAAACCCACCGCTAACCCGATCTGAGTTCTCCATGACGCTACTTTCAACTGGTTTCCCATCCTTCCCACATTCGAAACGTCGCTCGATGCCAGCTATGGAAAATGAATCCGCCACTTGACTTGAGTAATATTTATTTAACAATTCATAACAGAACACATCCCATGTCAGAATATATATCAGCCAGGCGATCACTTTTCTTATTTTCGAATGAAATCATAAACTCATGTTTGGACCGTGTTTGTGTCTTATGTTATGATTTATGTAATAGAAACATTCTTTGTAGTCCATGTGCAACATAATAAAATATTGATTAAAAACGTACGAATCGTTATGTTATTATTTAAGTTTCACATAGCGGGCCGTACGCTTCAGAAGTAGGTGGAGGAACGGCAATACCACGTAAACTACTGCTCGGATCTTCACTGACGTACAGATGAGTTCTTGTCGAAGTTGGATCATCAGTCGGAGTTTTATTCCGGCCGTACCAATACTCAATTGGAAATGTCACTTCTTGTCCTGTATTCAAGTAGAGCTTTCTGTTCTAGTAAATAAAATTAGTAAATTGATAAATTGCCCAGCAAAAATAATGAACAGGAGAGCGATGATTGAACTAATATATAGGCACAAAAATCCAATAACCAGGCTTGTCCATGGGAATGCTATTATCATGGAGAGCGTCCAATAGGGTGTGATGGGACAGCACCCATTTGTATTTTCTATGGAGCAGTTGCCATGTCATACAACTTGATTACGTCACAGATAACCTTGGTAGTTTTAGTTTTTCATCTTTTAAATGTTTTTATTGAATTGAATTGGGATGGGATGAGACGGAAAAATATTTCCCATCGACAAGCCTGCAATAACTAACTGAAGCACCAGAAGCCAAAGCGATTTTAACTCAAATATGACTGAGCACCACGAAAGATATTCTCGACTTAGGTGGTCACGTTTGACAAATTGAAAACTCCGTTCAAGTGACATGAAACGGCAACATTTTGGGTGTATTATCTCACAAGATTCGAAGAAATTTTGATAAAATATGTAGTAGTTTCCTATACTTTCATCTTCAAGTACTGACATTGTGAAATTGAGTGATCTATTAGTTACTTGGAAAAACGATTTTTTCGCGCCAAAAAGTTGCCCCAACAACGAAACATTGTGAAAAAGGTCTATATAGCAATCTCGTGTCCAATCAATTCTAATGATTTTATAATTGATTAAAATAAGGACTTAAGGGTTGAATAGCCTGATTCAGTCATAAAAATGTGTTAAAACGTATCTCCCATACCTGGTAAACTAATCCAGTCCACACGTAAAGAACATAGTTAGTTTTGGTTCGCAAGTAATTTTCAACCTTTTTGTAGTGGGTCTGGTCATATATATTGGCTAACTGACCACCAATGTTGGTGCAAAGTGCCTTCGCTGCGTCATATCTCGTTGTAGAGCGTATGAAAATGAAGCATTTCGAGTCGTACATGACGTCGCAGTTTTCTAGTAAGAAAATAAAAACTTTTTGAATATTTGTTTGTGTAGCCTAACAAGGATTTTTAAAATACCTGTAAATATAATTAAGCAACAACGGGTTCAAAAGATAACAATCCATTATCATGATTGTATAATAATAAACGATGTGAAACTATCGACCTCTCTCCAGCCTTTTGCTTTCTTCTATCCTTTCTCTCTCTTTTCTTTTGGTTTCTTCCAGCCTTGATCGGATTTCCGTCATAATGCCTGGAATAAAACCAAATAATTTTTAATTTGAAAACTCCTAAATTAGTTTTAAAAGGGCCATAACAACGATTGTTCAGAATTTTTGAACTATTTCCAATCATTTCAGGATCATTCTGAAATTCCTGTGAAAATCCTAGAATCTTTGTCGCTTTTATCACGTAACAATGTTGAAAATATTACACTTACCTTGGCCGTTGTCATTCTAAAAAAAAAAGTAAAATAGAATTCAAAGTTTAAACATTTGAACGTAGGTATAAAACCTCTCGATACCTATAAGCTAAGCACGAATTACGATCAGTGTTTCCGTGTCGTAATCTACGTTTGACTTATTTTCGCACGCTAAGAAAATTTCGCTATCGATTGGGTTTCTGTGCCGGTTGATCGAAGTGACCCACCGCGTTTCATTCGTGACCCGCCAAGGCACGAATAAAATAAGATGCTAATATAACAGTGATAAAAATTGATCAAACCGGCCTTAAATTAATCTAACAATAACTGAACTATTATAATGTACCGTCAGTTTGGTAGCCAGGGCTGTGATCGCTCATACTCAAATTGTTAATTTTTGGGCCGGTATGGTAATTTTCAAAACTCTGGATGCCGTGTCTGCACTCTGCACCGCTGTGTAACGTTATTCAGCTATTGGCTCTGAGATGGTTTATGACATAACAATGCAATTAATCTGTTTATTTCTCGCAACATCTCGTCTCTTTCGGGGGTCCATTTGCTTACTGTTTTAGGGGTTATACGAGAACCAGATGCTACTTTGCAGTTTATTAGTTTCTCGCCTACAATGCGGTTGAGAAAACAAAATCTTTCAGACTTGAAATAAAAACCTAGAAATCTGAAATAACATTGGGGCCGTACAAAATGCCCTAATGTGGTTAAAAGCTGATCGAAAAATACAACACTATCAGGATGGAATTTCCTCCAAACCCTTTGGAACCGTAAAATAATTTGCCGCATCATGCTAAACGTTTTCGTTAACTCATATGCGTGTTTTCGTACTCTAATTTCATAAAATCGAGAGCCATAAAAAGTCCCTGATAGAAGTGCTGCATAAATAAAGCCCAAAACTACACCAAAAGAAGATAAGATTTGTTTCTGAAGTTTCCTATAGATATAAACATTGATTATATATCTGTGACCCACTCTATTCTATTCCGCGATAAAAATATATTTTTTGACCCATTCATTGAAAAAGGTTCGTCATCCCTGATCTACAAGGATGCGGTAGCAAGAGTAAAAATATCTAAGGTGATTCAAGAGTTTTGATAACTATCGCAAAATATAAAACAGGGAGATACTGTGTTCAATAATTCAAATCCTTCACCTCAGCCCGCCGTTGTTGAACAATTAATTATACAATCACCCACTTTATCGATTCCCCTATTGTCACGTTATTTGCACGAAATGATACTTGCATTGTTTTAAAAATATTTTGCATAAATTTGCAAATATTTGCATAAATTTACTTACGTAAAAGAAGTTTGTATGACGAAGAAAAATTATAGAGTTACTATTGTTTACATATGTTAAGCTGGTGCAAAATACAAATAAAACTACAGTGATTATAATCAGTGAACGCTTTGTTCGTGTGAATATTTATATTTACATGCTTTGGAATGGAAAAAATGTAGAAAAGTTTGCGTAAAACAAAGAATTAGTAGTATACGGGCGAGAGTATATATATGTTTTATCTCAAAATATGAACAAAATGTGATTCAAAAACAAACCAGGCCACCACAAATCTATATATAATTATGTGTTTTATATATAAATACACAAACAATATAAATATCTTGCCTCACACGATCCCACGGAGACAAGTTTGCCGTTGACCAATTTCCGCACACAAACACCGTCTGCAAAGTGAGTATATATAAAATTGTTGTTGTTATAAAATAGTTGTTATGAAAAATTCCCCTTTCTCAACAAATCAAGAGTGAATCGGTTTAAATTTTCCGTAATTACACACGATTAATATTTCCGTTTTATGCCTATGAGGCTCAAGAGTTATGTAACTAATATGATATTTTTGAGCACCACGTGACTTTACGCCAACTCGAATTCGAGGCCCACTGCGGACATGCGTCCATGCCCGCGCCGATGCACATACTTACGGCAGTGAGAGTTGATTTTACATTTTGATTCGGAGCGTGTAGATCAGGCGAGCAATTCCATTCCCTTTAATTTGCAAAACGTATACCTATTATGTTACATTGTCAGATAGCTTGTGTCAAGCGAGCAACGCATGACATGAAATCAATAACCAAAATATATGTGCTTGTAACTACTAGGAAGTCTATGTTGAAGAAAGGTGCGTCCCGCGGTTTCATCCAGTTATATGTATCTGGCCTTCCTGTATTAAAGGTTGCACTCCCCTGGTATAGATGAGCAGATAATAAATTTATGTGCATATCGTAGGCTGCGTACTAAATTATATGACTAATGGTACTCATTTTATTCATTGGACCTTCGTATTGAAGCATTTTCATTCTTTTTGTTTTTGAATCGGCTATTCATCAATGTATCTCAAAGTATGGAATACGTTTTTATAGGCCTAACTTGAAGTCATAAAAACCTTACTTACCAGGAACATTTTCAAATGCAAAGTTTCCGTAGGCGGAAAGTGCAAGTACGAAGATTATGGCCCAGTTTGTCATATTCGGTTATATTAAAGTTTTATTACCTATTTATCTAAGGAAGTCAACTTAGCGAAATGCATCTGTATACCACTCTCCCCTCTCTCATTTGTAAGAAACTACATCAAAATAAATTCATTTTATGTTGGGAAATTGTAAGTCACGTAACGTAAGAAAACTTTTCATGTCTTATATTCAAATATCACCAAAAGTTTTCCCACACATTGTTATGTTTGAAATTTGCATTTATTTTTATTGTTATCCTTACATTCCCATATTCAAACGATTGCTTTGTTCAAAACCTAAATTTCCTTCGTGAGTTGAATTTCCGAAGATATTTGTTCAATCCTTAAATCTTTCGACGTTTAATTATAATAAAGTTGATAGGAACAATATTGTTATTGTTGGATATGAACAATATTGTTAAATGTGCTTGTGCAATAAGGTGGAAAAGATAAAATCACAATATATTATACAAACTAAATCACTTGCAGTACTTTTTTATATCGCAAAAAGAAGAAATTGGAAGTTTGAGGATTCCGCAATCAAATTCTATATCATAAATAAGAAAATAAAGTTAGGGGTTTTACGCTCAAAATAAGTCTAAATCTAAATCCTTTTATACAAACTTTCACAAAGAATAGATGCAAGTAATATACGTACTGATACAAGAGTCACCGACAGGAACATTGTGCATTGTATAAATGAAATTAAGTTTTTGTTGAGTAAGTTATTGGAAATATATAATAAATAGTACCAACCGTATTTTTTCTTTTGCAGGAAACTGTTTTATGCCCATGAGTACAAATACATATCGAAAGTATTGTTTTGTATGCGGTAGATTATGAAGACATTATAAAGCCTGTCAAACTGACGTTTAAGTTTTGATTGGAATTTCTATGTTATTGTCATTTCATATTCTAACTAAGCATTGGTATTTCGAGCCAAATTGAAAAATTCAAAATACATTTTCAATGATTAACAGGCAGTGTGCGCTTGTAAGTTTTACTGAAGCGGTCAAAATAATATATTTCCAACGCATCGTAATAAACACTTTATTTTATTAAATCTGATTGATTGTAGTCATAGATGAAGTAATCTATGTATAAAAAGACATTCAATCATTCTATGGTTTGTTTTAAATTCTTTCGCTACTAAAATTGACGCCAAAATTTTCTTCTGATCCAAATCGACGAGTTAGTATGATAACATTTCATCATTAAAATGCACGTGCAAATCGCTGTGCTGAGCCTGGCTAAACTAATTGATTAAAAATATTTTATTGTTTCAAAAAAATACAGGTTTCCCAAACTTTTTTTGTTCTTAAGTGCCTGATCATATTCAAAAAAACAAAAGCACGATATTATAAGCAACAATAGAACATTCAAGCAAAAATTTGACAATTAATATTTTATAAAATAGGTTGAATTTTGACCGAAAGTGAAGTACAATTGCGTTTATTTAAACCAGGCATAAAAGTAAAGCTACTGGGGTTGTCCATTGTTTGACTCCGTATTCCATAATGTTTAATTTTTTCATTTTTCAGCAAGTATTAAACAGAATTATGTATTTATAATGAATGTCGGTTTTATTTGATATTTGAAAATGCTACTATATACTTATTTTAAAAAACAATCATATCATATTCAAACAAATTATAAATATTCAGCCATTTCTGAAGCTTATTGATGTGGTAATTTCAGTGTTTTCAGTCGAAAAAATAATAAAGTGAGCTTTCATCACCCCGGGAATTTTATTTTTTATTGCGTAATTCAATAACTTAATGAATTGAAGTTGATAGTAACAAAATAATTGCTTTTGTAAATTAATTCAATTGCAGTAATGACCAACCTATTCAAATAAATATCACTTTAAAAATATTTTTTTTGTAAATTAAATCAATTTCAGTGAAGATCACCATATTCGAAATCATATTCAAACAATTATCACTTTAAAACCAGTCATTCATAAAGACACGTTGCCTCTGTGACATTTTTCTTCACTATTTCTTAAACAAAGACTAAAATCCTGTGGTGTAAAATTAGGCTAACAAACGTATTATCTAAAAAATGTTTTTTTAACGAACCTATACTAATTAATAATATGTATTGTAATCAATACGCAAATAGACAAACTGCTCTGCACAAACAAATATATACGCAAGGTGCTTTTCGGACAACATCTGCTGAAGTTCTATACAGATAACATGCTAATTACCTCACCACGAGTCAGATATTCTCCAGAAATAACAAATCTTGGTATTTTCAAGTTTCTATGTGTATAACCAACAATCATTTTTTATTTTATTTTACTGCTGAGTACACACAACGAATTGGCAACGTTAGCATTGCTGATGGTTCTTTACGGTTTTTCACAGTTTTTGCAGGTTTTTGTACGGTTTTGAGTGGTTAAGAAAGTAATTAAACACAAATTGACCGCATGAACAAAAAATGCTCGCTCCGCTTCTGACATACTCTGAAATAATTCCCAACTCCGAACAAAACACATATGTCAAATCAGTTCATATATATATTCCTATTACATATTCCAGAACCACTTGAAACAAACGTCATTATATAAATGAAACTAAAGTCAAGACTTGAAGCTGTTTTCCGAATCGGTTAAAAGTTTTTATTATTTACTGAATCAAAGGTCAATCAAAGTAATCATGATTCTTTTTCAAATAGATTTCTTAGTAACTTCTGGAAATGCACGATTTAAAACCATACTATTCTATCTATATTATTTTCGAATTCAAAGTGAATGCCGCTGTGAACAATCATTGATGTGACCTTTTGTTGGATTAACACTTTGCCAATGCGATAAAGAATATATTTGTTATTTTAACTAGGAGTTTATTTTTCTTTTGTTATGATTGATGTAAAAGGAACTTTCTTCGGAATACATGTAAACATGAAGTATTGTTTCAAAACGTAGGAATCGTTATGTTAATATCTAAGTTTCACACAGAAGGCCGTACGCTTCCGCAGTAGGCGGAGGAACACTAATACCACGGAAACCAGTAATTGGATCTTCCCTAAAATACAGATGAGTTCTTGTCCAAGCTGGATCCTCGGTCGGAGTTTGATTCAGGTCGTACCAATACTCAATTGGAAATGTCACTTCTTGTTCAGTACTCAAGTAGAGTTTTCTGTTCTAGAAAATAAAATTAGTTATATAAGCATGATAATAAAATGCCCCGCAAAAATAATAAATAGGAGAGCGATGATTTATTTAATATATAGGCACAAAAATTCAATAACCAAGCTTGTCCGTGGGAATGATATTCTCGTGGAGAGCGAGAGCGTTCCATGGGATGGTATGGGACAGCACACATTTTTATTTCCTATGGAGCAGTTGCCTTGGTATTTTATCTTTTAAATGTGTTTTTTTTATGGTATTATCTAATTTTATTTATTTTGTGGTGGAAGACCGCAGAATTCCCATGGAAAGGCATAAAATGCAGTGGGGTGGGATGAGACAGAAAATATTTCCCATCGACAAGCCTGCCATTAACTAACTTGAGCACCCGTAGCCAAAGCGATTTTCACTCCAATATGCCTTGGCTTAGGCGGTCACGTTTCGGTCCACGTCTCACGAGATTCGCAGAAATTTTGATAAAATATGTAGTCTCCTATACTCCTATACTCCTATTCTATACTATCATCTTCAAGTACTGAAAATGTGAAATTGAGTGATCCAGTAGTTACTTGTAAAAGCGATTTCTTCGCACCAAAAAATTGCCCCAACAACAACGAAACGGTTGGGGAAAACGATTTATATGGGATTTCAATGATGTATTTTATGTTTTCAGTAATTCATTTGTTGACAGGACCAATTACAATAAAAAGTCGCATACAATTACATATCTCCCATTGACTCCCAGGTGTTCTAGATTCGATTCGAAAAAAATATTCTATTCGATTTTGAAATCATCAGGTAATCGAAAATGCCCTGCCCAGACCTTTCTGCCCATGCCATTGTGACATAACACTGATCATTCGACACGGCGTATTGATATCTAAGATTGCACCGCACTTTTCAGAGTGGTTCAACTCATGAATATCTGCTGCCTTTTTCATGGGAATGGGAGTCCATGGGACAGCACACATTTGTATTTCTCATAGGACAATAGCCATCTTATATCATATTGATTACGTCGTAGCTAACTTTATTGGTTATACTTTTTAATCTTCTATGTGTTTTTTATTCTCCCTTTTTCTTCACATATATATATATATATATATATATATATATATATATATACTTGTATTCAGCCGGTTCAGCAATTCAGTAATGGGTTGCGCATAAATGCAATATTTTGATAAAAGTGATTGGACCACTTTTTGCATTGATTGTCGAATTTTTATTGGTGACTCATTTTTAACCTAATACAGCCTATTCATTAGAGTTTATGCAGGCCTACTTTTTCAACGTAACTACCGAGAGTGATTGAATATTAGTTTATTTCATGGCTTCCGTTATTTTAAAAGTATTTCTGATTATCTGCCGTATAGAAATAGTTTGAATTCTATATACAAAACATACGGTGTTTTAAAATTCATCGGAAGAGTATGTAACTAATTTTTAAGAGGAATTTAATCGTCATTTTCACTGGGTTAAAGTATTGAATCTTTGAAATAAAATTTAGCAACCGTGCTATATATGTGTATTGTGCAGTAGTCCCCACTGAAAGCGCCAGTGTCGAATTACAGACTCAAAATGAAATACACACTTTTTTCGGTTCATCTTCCATTGGTAATTCTTACATGCATGTACCAACATCAGTCAACGAATGAAATGTGAGGAAAGTTTGCCGATGAGATTTGTAAATGGCATCAAATTTGCATTAAATTGTGCGAACGATCGCATTTTCACAATATATATCTGCCGAAATTCCAAAAAAATTTATGGAAACAATCTGTACGCTACACTAAGTCATATTGGACGTAATACGCTCAGGACCAATTAGAATAAAAAGTCGCATTCAATTACATATCTCCCATTGACTCCAAGGTATTCTAGATTCGATTCGAAAAAAATATTCTATTCGTTCTGAAATCATCAGCTAATCGAAAATACCCATCCCAGACCTTTCTGCCGATGCCATTGTGACATAACAATAGTTATTTCGACACGGCGTATCGATATCTAAGATTGCACTGCACTTTTCAGAGTGGGTCAACTCATTATTATCTGCAGGCTTTTTCATGGAAATGGGAGTCCATGGGACAGCACACATTTGTAATTCCCATAGGACAATAGCCAGCTTATATCATATTGATTACGCCGTAGCTAACCTTATTCGTTGTACCTTTCAATCTTCTTTTTTTTTTTATTCTCCCTTTTTCTTCATATATATACTTGTATTCAGCCGGTTCTATAGAACCGTCTCACGGAATTTTATGAGATCAGCGAACCGGTTGGCATTACTGGTTACTGCCAATGTTCTGTTTGTAACAGAACCGGCTGAAAAATATGACTTTTGTGAAGGAACCGGCTGACAAAAAATTTGAATCTCACCACCGCTTGTATCTATCACTTATTTTGTGGTGGAACACCGACAGCGTGCTCAAGAAGGGACGATTTCATTATTGGAATTGGATTACGCCTAAATTCAAAATTGCAGCTTAAACTTTATGGTGTATTGTATCATGCACTTAATCAATTTCTAATAATGAAATCTCGCCTTTCTTGAGCAGAAGACATGCTGTTAGGATTTTCAAAATTACGATGTTTATGGTATTTTTAGGCTGTTTCAAGTAATGATCACACATGAATGCAAAATTACGTCGCAATAACTCGAATTGCACGTTATTAAACTCGCCCCTTCTGAGCGGAATTACTTGCTGGTGGACTTTGGAAATTTTGTGTTATTTTTTCGACACCGATGCATGCTGCAATGTGTTATATTCGGTAATGGATTGCGCATAAATGCAATATTTTGATGAAAGTGATTGAACCACTTTTTCCACTGATTGTCGAATTTTTATTGTTGACTCATTTTTAACCTAATACAGCTTATTCATTAGAGTGTATGCAGGCCTACTTTTTCAACGTAACTACCGAGAATGATTGCATATTAGTTTATTTCATGACTTCCGTTATTTCAAAAGTATGTATGATTATCTGCCGTATAGAAATAGTTTGAATTCTATATACAAAACATACGGTGTTTTAAAATTTATCGGAAGAGTATGTAACTAATTTTTACGAGGAATTTTATCCGTGCGCTACACTATGTCATATAGAAAGAAATACGCTCAGAATGATTATCATACAAAAAATTATGATGTTTTTTAACGTTTCATAGAAACGCAATTGACGAAAACGATCCATCTGGATGTGGTTAGGTTTTCATGGTATCACAATGTTTTTACCTAAATTTTGTTATATTTAATGTTTCATTTGCTATGTTTAAATTTTAAAAATGGACCGGAAATAATTTTAGCATATAAGGCTGGCACGCTACAGTCATATCGGGCACTTTTGTCGATGTTTATCGGGAGAAAAATATCGCGAGCAGACAAAATGGCATCGAAGATTTTCAAGCTTATGCTGATCATGCATATTGCGGTGATTTGCGTCTGGTAAGTATATTATGATATAATAGATTATATATGATAAATGAATATACGAAGATATTATGACTTTGATAAGACTATTTGAATAAAACCCCACAAAAAAATCGTGCCTGAATAATCATATAATACTGAAGTTCATATCAACTTGTAAACCTAAATCTTTTCGATTATATAACAATTTGATAAATTACCGCGACTTGTCACAAATCTATTTGAAATTTGTGCCATATTTCTTAGTTTTAACCAAACTGGTTCGAATCGTTTTTATTTTCTCATTTCTGTAATACGTGGACCAGCTCAATAAACTAACTGGTTGTTTTCAACAATTTAAAAATTATTCACGTTATATTGCAGTGCTCAGAGTATCGAAAACTCCAAAGGGACGGATAAGGAGGCAGGTAAGAATATTACTTACATTAAATAGGATGTGATAATGCACGTGTTTTCAATCTATGTTTACTTTTACGGTTTTCTATATAAGCAATCTGTAATGCTAACAACCATAAATTCATTTGTAAACCTAATTTGAGCCTGTATTTGTTAATTAATATTAAATGCGAAATATCCCCTTTATTGATATATTGCAATCTAAGTTAAAGTTTATTTGCAAACGCGTCATTCAATTTTACGCAAATTCTTAAAATCACTGCTCTTAATATGCGTCGTGCCCGTTGTAACACACAAATACATTGAATAAAACTTATTTTAAAGAGCAGCCATTTTTGTCCGCCTGATTTGTAGTTTAAATCAAGAATCATAATTGAGCCTACAGACACAAATTTATTCTCGACTCATCAAACGAAAGTTGCGCCGAGCGTTGGTCATAAGCATGGTGACCATCAAAATTTGTTCTAGTTATATACCTGAACATGATATAAGTGCTCATGAAACCTGATTGGCGTGAAAGAGCCATCGACTAATCAATTCAGTCCTCACCACATTATTAGTTACAATTTGTTATGGCGTACCAACATTTTTATTCTAAGGCTACTATTTTGATATGTATATTCTTTCATTTCAGAAAGTCCAAAGTTGGTGTCAAACAACCTCAAAGATTCCGAAAAAATTATGTGGTGGCCAATAATACTTGAGGATTCAGAAAATTCAAAGTTGGTGTCAAACAACCTCAAAGATTCAGAAAAAACTACGTGGTGGCCAAAAATACTTGAGGATTCAGAAAATTCAAAGTTGGTGTCAAACAACCTCAAAGATTCCGAAAAAATTATGTGGTGGCCAATAATACTTGAGGATTCAGAAAATTCAAAGTTGGTGTCAAACAACCTCAAAGATTCCGAAAAAATTATGTGGTGGCCAATAATACTTGAGGATTCAGAAAATTCAAAGTTGGTGTCAAACAACCTCAAAGATTCCGAAAAAATTATGTGGTGGCCAATAATACTTGAGGATTCAGAAAATTCAAAGTTGGTGTCAAACAACCTCAAAGATTCCGAAAAAATTATGTGGTGGCCAATAATACTTGGGGATTCAGGAAATTCAAAGTTGGTGTCAAACAACCTCAAAGATTCCGAAAATAATTGATATAGTTTCAACGGTTTACATGCAACTATGGATAACCCCTTATTCAGTTAATTGCACAATTTAATCACAAGCATTCAAAAGATGTGATTCTATAATATTTATGGTCAATTATATTTATGTATTCAGACGCTTAAATATATATCCCAGAATATGATACAATGCATTGAATAGTGCCTCATTTTTATATAGGTCTATTCACAGAGCTGTAGAGCGTAAGGGCAGAATTGAAAGCTTTTTTAGTCGATAAAAGAAAAAAAAGGATGGGAGGAATTAGAACACCACACGCACCGGCGATCGCCTGGCATTACGTATTACTGGGAAGCAGTTGTGGAATTTCAATGTCTTTTTATGGTAAAGAACACAGGGATGTTCATTAAAATCGCTCTAATGACCTTTGAAGTTCACAGGATATGACCAGATATCCTTGAAGATTTTACAGGTGAATATCACCTGCAATTCGTAGTCATATGCAGTGTCCTTTCACACAGTCACTCCAAGGAAGTCTCTAGACAGCCACTGATATTGCGAGAGTCACGCGTATCTTGTGAATATCGCGGGAAAGCTTTTGATGGTATGAATTTGACTCTATATATAATTTTTCAATACTTTTGGGGTTTACCGCTCAAATAAAATGGACTTCGTTAGTAAGACTCGAATTTTTAAAAGTTAATCCTGCCGAAATGGAACGTAAATTAGTATGTCTCGTGGATGACGTAATACTGAATGCTTATCGGCGTAAGTTTGAATTAGGTTTAAAACGCATTTAGTACGCTCTTTAGTATTATTTTGCTATATGTTTCTATGGGACGTTGTATTTGACAAACGCAGCAGTAGATTCAAACTTTTACCATTATATTCAAATATTATCAGTGCATTATTAGAAATGACTGTAAACTTATCAAGCACGGATAGAAAAACCTTATTATTCTGTTGAACTATGTTAGACTGCAGTAACACATTTTCAAATAACCAAAATAAAGCGCTGTTTCTTTTGACTTAAATTATCAAATATTTATGATTTGTGGGGTTTGTCCGCTTTTCTGATTCTCAAATCAGTCCTTCTGTTAACATTTCCAGTTTACAGCCTATATGCACTACTGCGGTATTTTAAAATCAGCTTATTACTATTACAATATTACAAAGCTAAATGATGAGATAACGCAATCAGGGTTGGTTTATGATAAAATATTTTAATCTATATTTCCTATGTTTAATGAATGATGTATATGAGCCGAACCCCCATAAAATGAATACTCCTCAAAAAACAAGCAATGTGTATCCTGGTTAATTGTGACAAAATCATATATTCAGACCCAGCGAAACTACAATCGTAAGTAGGGAAGAGACCCACAACAACGTTATCCAATTAGTCTATGGCACAGGGAATTTATGTAGACAGGGACAGTGTTTGATACAAGAAGTAATGGGCGACCAAGAAAATCTGCAAAATCATCGGGCGTGTAAGGCAAGCTTTGCAACGTTCTCCCATGAATTTCATCCGTACCGCCGCCAAACTATTGGAACTACCACATTTAACAGTACACAAAGTCCCACACAAGAGTTTAATATTGTATGCTTACAAAGTGCAAGTGTTACAGGCACTTCAGCCAAACGACACGCCAAGGCGAATTTAACTTGCAGTGAACACGCTGCAACAAATATCTGAGGATGAAGTATTCCTCAAGCGAGTCTGTTTCAGTGATGAAGCCACTTTTCATGTCTCAGAAAAGTAAAACGAACACAATGTAAGAATTTGAGGATCGGAAGGCCCCCACACGAGTAGAGAATTTCAGACAAATAGTCAAAACTGAATGTTTAATGTGGAATCATGTACAATCGAATAATTGGGCCCTTTTTATTCCACGAGGCACCAATTACTACAAATGTTTACTTTGTTACTTATCGATTTTAATCGGTAAGTTTGTTGATAGGTATTTGTCTGTCTGTCTGTTTGTCTGTTAGATGCACGCGATACCTCATGAAAGCGAGATTGAATCTGCTCCAGAATTTGCATGTGCATTCATCTTATCTCGGACCAGAAGCCTATTGATTTTGGGCGAATTATGTCGTATAATTAGCGAGTTATCAATTAATTAGTGATGGGACACAAAGTGTCACTATGGAGTAAGAGCGCTGTTTTGGGGGATCCGCTATCTTTCGATCGATAAGTCTTCGGTCTCTGACCGATACTCTCGTTTACCTTTTGACCAAATTTGTGGCAGCACAACTGATTGACTTTCAACCAACCATCATATTTCAGCAAGATGGTTCACCACCACACTGGGGACTGCACGTTCGTGAGTTTCCTAATGAAACTTTTTCCGATCGATGGATTGAAATGAATGAGCCGATTTCATGGTCACCACGTTCACTGGATATCACTCCCCAGAACTTTTTTCTTTGGGGTTACGTAAAGGATATTGTGTATCGAGTAAAAGTACGGAACATGACTAATCTGAAAAGAAAAAAAATCATAGTTGGGGCTATGCTACGACAAACATGGCAAGAAATGGAGTACCGTGCTTCGTGCAACTAATGGTGCCCATATACATAGATACAAAACTTAAAATATATGGATCACAAAAATTATTTTTGGATCGAAATGAGATAATATTACCACAGTTTTGAAATGTGATTGCGAATACTCAAAAAAGGATGCCCCTCATTCCACTGTATACTACAGGTACCGTACCGCAGCAGAACACCAGATATCAACTTACGCGTAAACGGAATCACCACATGTAAAGCCATTTTTACTTTCGTTGATGCACACAAAAAAATAAGAACCCCATAGAGGTCATAGAAAGTATTGAAATAAAAAAAAGTAATAGCCTTCTCGCGAAAAATACAATCTTCCACCACTGGAAATTGCAAACGGTCAAGTATACTTAAAGTAGAAAAATACCAACTGCAATAACATAAGAACAAAGCGATCCATAGGGACCTCTCATTCTAGAAAATCAGTAAAAAGTCAATTTATAGCTGATGAAATCTATTTTTTAGCATTTATTACAACTTCCAGCTTCAATTATGAATATTTTGGTGAGATTCCATGAATATGTCCAATACTATTACAGAAAAATGTTGTTTACTCAATTTGCCTATCTGTATTGTAGCTATCGGCATCCTGCAGAGAGAGATATACCCTAGAAGAAAAACTAGACCTGATAGAGAAAAAGTAACAGCATTTCTGGAATCAGCGCCCTCAAATTTGCTAAAAACGTTCAAAACATCTTAGGCACCATGAAAAATATTTTTTTGTCGGCCATTGTTATCGCTATAAACTGCATCACAATCAGCTCTTATATCTGAATTAATATTCTTTGGTCAATGTCTTAACAACTCATCAGTCAAAATCATAGACAACCTTGCACCATGCATTCGTTGTACTTACAAAAAGATGGTTTATAGAATGACAGTAACAACAATGAAACTCAAACAAAGACCTTATCATGGTGGCCAAAAAGTGTATATACTTTTATTAGAAACTGAGGTTCCGATAGAAAAAAAAATCTATCCGTACGAAATGCCGACCCATGATAAACACATAATTCTAATAATAGAGTAACCAATACATATGACAGAGAACATTTTATATTTTTTCATACAATATTCAAAAAACATTTTCTCATATCATACATTGTCCACAATCAACTGGCAACAACGGAATCACGGCAATTGCAATAGGAAGAGTCCATGACAATACGATAATATGACGAATTGTTCTGAGTTTAAATTCAATACATGGTTTGAAATATATATTTATATCAACGCCTAGCAGTAATTTAAGCAATTTTACTGTGTTATTTACTTCAGAAGAGTATACACTCCAAGTCATGTAATGATCGTCAGAGAAAAAACTGGAGACTCTGTTCCAATCATAAGCAAAGCTTCGATAGCAGAACAGGTTATTCCACTTCTCCATTCTATATCTTCTTTGCAATACTCACCTTGCATTGTTATACTCATTATGCATATGGAGAATGTGTAAACCTGAGTTAAATCATATGTTTTAAAAATGTTCAAAAATTTAACCAAAATGTTCAAGTTGATCTACCCCAACGAGAAAATCAGACGCTGACAGATTACAAATCAAGATTTTGTTGATCACAGCATTCTTTTTATAATTCTTCTTCTTCTTGTATAACTTGACCATAGATAATGAAATCACGAACAAATTTCTTGCCAATGTAACGGTACTTGACAAAAAAGCGCGATGGTCTAGTCTTGTATTCAACAAAAATTACATTGGTATATATCGTTTTTTTTTTTGCGACAAGCTATTTCTATTTTTTCAATACAGCATTATCAAGCGTGGTGAATCGCTTTGAAAGATTTTTTTTTATTTTGATACTCGCGTGTCCCAAGACTGATGCTTGTATTTTCAAGTTTTACGCTTCCATTTCACCGTACAAAGTAAACTAAATACGATGTCTCACACTCACTTCGGGGATAAGGCTATTACTTAATATATATATTAAATCTGGTTTTCAAGGTGAAGGCAGACAGTAACTTTGTGAGTTTGGACAAACTATTGAACATCCGTGAAAGAGAAATAACTCTCATTAAACAGGCCACGCAATTATTCAATGTTGACTTGTTTCGGCAGTGTAAGCTGAACGAGAAGGAAAATCATGTATCGTGCCATGAGGCATATAAATATAAAAATTGCTGCGTTTACTGTTTCGGCAACCACGAATTTCCGCCCTTACTTAGTCGTTATCAGACCCCAAAATGAGATAAGGCCATGACAGACCAACATTCTACGTGAGTATAAACCGGTAGTAATATAAACTGTTATAAAGTCTCGTGTTCTTTTGTAATGAAAATTTCACATGACTAATTGGTGTATGACATCAATGAAAGAGCACGGAGTGGGGTTCACGTATCCCTCGGTAAATTACGGTTGTCTCCAGGATTGAAGTTCGCGAGTCTCAGAAGATCGACTGGCAAGACAGCCTAAACAGGTAATCGAACAAGGGGCTTTTGTTCATCAAATGAGTCTTTGAACGAGTTGAAAACAAAAATTAAGTGATTTTAGGAAGATGGGCTGTTTTTTGCCAACAAATATTTGAAGATAAGGCGGTAAGTGCATAAAGAAAAATGACGCGGAAGCTACTTGCTCAAAAAACACATAGCTTTTATTGAAATTAATTGCTAGGC